AGGTACAACCTCTCAAATCGCTGGCAATGGGGCTTTTTGTTCCCGTTGATTTATAATATCCCCAGATGTTAATCCTACACTAAGGATCTACATCATCTGCCACCACCTAGTCAGGCAGTTCGTGTTCGAATAGTTTTTTACTACACGGCCTGCTACCGTAGGTTCCAGACACAATGGATAATATAATTTTCTCTGGGTTTCGTGAGTTTTATATGGGGATAACGCAAACTAAAGAAAAAAAATGCTAAGTCAAAATAGGCACAACGTTTAGGCCTGGTTAAACTGGCGGTAACAAATTGGGTTGTCATTGATATAAAAAAGTACTTGAATGTTTTAACGTGCATCTTTGAAAAGTAATGGAATTGAGAGAGATAACTAGTGAATAATGATAGTGGTAGTAATCTATTCGATGTTATAGAACAGGGGAATGTAGTTACTTACCCAGAGCGATTCTTCTTTTGAGAGCTTAGTGCGTTCTTAGAATTCGCCTCAGGAAAGGCCCTCTCAAGAATTTCCGTCGACCACTGTTTTAATGCCGGTTGTTGCGAAGTGACTGAAGGTACGGGGGAGAGAGAGAGACGAAGACGAAGTGAAGGAGATGCAGGCGGTGGTCGAACGTGGGTGTCGTCTGTTATCACCGACAGATTTCCGTCCTGTTGACGACTTAAACGCAATCGAAGGCTTCGTGGTTGAAAAGAGTCCTTTTGAGACCCCATATCTTCCTCCCCATCAACTTGGGATGGGGAACGCGCGGCAGCAGGAGATTGGCTAAGAACAAGGATCAAAGCGACTCGCAGTAACTGCCGTCAATTTGGCCTCAATGATTTTATGAGCGCAGATTTTTCAATAGTTCAATTTCCTCTAATTTCTTGAGACTTCGCTTTTGTTATTTACTGTAGTAACCATTTAAAAAAATTACTACTAAAAGGGACCTTTGTCTTGAAAACCAACGAATTGTTCGAGAAGTCAGCATTCCCCAAGACTAAGCTTTCAGTACAAGTGACAAGATTAAATTTGATACATTTTGCATAGTCATACAGACCACTGTCACCAACCTTGCGTCCGACTGTCGTTTAACCGTTGTCGCTATCGCCTAGTACAAATCGAGTTGGACGTGCTACTCGGCCTTTTGGGTGAGCTAGCAAACAACCTCTAGCAGGCCTCTGTCCTGTCTTCTCATTAGAAGGGATCTTTGGTTAAGCCGTCAAAGGTAACGTGAATCGACTTTAGGAAAGCATAGGGGGATATGAGAACGATGAACACACAAAATATATCTCGACGCGTAATGCCTAAGGAAGCACAATATCTGTTACCGAGATTCAGTGTGGCCAATATTTTAACTAAGTTACGGGTTCGAGGGGATGGTAATATTGGGGAAAGAACCAACAAAAAGACGTTATTTAGAACAGAATGAACGACAAGTTACCAATTTTTGCTTTTTTGGGCCAAGTGACGTTTAGGAATTATGTGTGAACAGTCAAAACGGTCTCTCTTATGGGGTAAGGCGGCATAAGCCGCGTTACTTTAATTACATGCCCCGGGGTCCACATACGAGTGGGAGATAAAATTAAGCCGTTTTCACACTAAAATCTACATTTCGCATAGCAATGACACTTGCAGCATTTAGGCTTTTATATGCGATTGACATTTCGTTATTTCACTGCACTAAAGCCCCTGTTCCCTCACGAATGCATTTGCGAAAACATAGACTTACTGTGACTGGTTGGAAAACCCAACTTCCGCTTCTAGTTTCGGGCTGCTCACGTTGGCTTTGAGGACAGGCATAGGAGGCTCCTCGTTGATACAGCGTGACACCTCTAGCTTCATAGCATCTTCTCCTTCTTCATAATCTAGATCAGACTCCGACATGACGCTTGTTGAGGGCGTTGATCCGTCTTCGCAGCCTTCGTCGGCCTCCACATTTGAGTCGTCAATTCGCTCTATAAATTGACCAAATATGTCATCGGAATTCTTAGGTAATTAGACCATAATGTTGTTGGCACGGTGATCGGTTGTTAAATGCAAGATTTGTAATGAAAATAAACCTGAAACAAGCACTGGTGTCAAATTTGTTGGCTTCATATTAATTCTAATATGATATTTCAGAGTAGCAATGAGGAGCAGGTCAACACTGGACCAATCAACCCCCAACAGATTAATTGACACAGGTGTTCCGTGTTAAAATCGGCACCTTACAGACTAAACATGTTACGTTGCGAGAAGTGACCTTACTTCGACTAGAAGCACTCGGAGATCTTTCCAATATAGACTTGGTTTTGTTGGAGCCCGCCATTTTCATCGGGGTTGTGGCAGCACCGGTCACCTTTGATACCGAAGGGACGCTACGCAGGGCTGTTCCATTGCCTCCAGAAACAGTCCAGACGGACTGGGGCACATCGAAGGGGTCGGTCCAACCACTGAGTTCTCGCAAAAATTCAGAGGCCACTGGTGGAATGTTGTCAGATAATTCGGAGGAAGTAGAGGTCGAAGGGTTCTCTTCTTGCTGTCGTAAGAGTGACCAGAGCACATCAACATGGTCATCAAGACTTCCACTCTCCAACTCTGCTATTTTCTCTTTGATAAGTCTAGAATGAAGGTCGCTTGTCAAGGCTTGAAGAAGGAATGGGGATAATGTACCAAAATGCACCGCATTTCGGTGAATAGGGTTTAAAAAGCAAGACTCAGCCAATGAAATTTAAATTTTGTTTAGAGGTACTTACGCGACAGTTGTGCACTCTTTCGAATAAACGAATACCTAACGGCGTGGATGTGACTACGGCATTTGGAGAAGAAAGAACCAACGGTGGACTGCACACAAGCACAGACATTGAGTTCATGATCTCTTCTAGACACATGCCTGCTGTTGTGAACTCGACGTAAGATTGCATGCATGGAAGAGGTACAAATGTTACCTATTATGAATTACACCAGTTGGCAATTCGTAGTTCGGCGTAGATCGTAAATGGTCTTTATATACACATGTAAACACAGGATCAGCCACTGTGCCGTCAACCTCAACGCGGACAAAATGCAGCGGAAATGGTTTGATCCTTGTTTAATTATTATTTAGCCGTAACCCTATACCACTTGTGAAATATAAGCATGATACGACGTGTCGTTGTGTACAATATCCTCTACAAATTCACTTAAAGGCGACAATGTGGTTTCTAATACTTTAAAAATCCAAATTCGCCAAGGTGATAATACGCCTCTAGAATAAGAGTGGCATTATTAGAAATTTCAGTAGTACGCAGTAGTGACATGCCTGTATTTCTGTTGAGCAGTGACAATTTGGTTGCGCAGTTCCTCAACACGCTCCACGGTAAGCCGCTTGACAATCAACTCGGCGAGACTTAAACCGACGGTGCCCGTTGCTGCGGCAACATCGCCCGGTGCCTGAAACACCACCCGACCCTCTTCTGCGCTTTTCTCCACGTCCACCTGCGAAGACAGTGGGATTGACATCACATTAGCCTGGTAAACACTCTAATACGCCAATGAGAGCTTATACAGAGGGATGTGTAAGCTTTCCCGATACCAAGAAATAATCGACGCATTTAGGTGATAGTTGTTATTGGGGAATTAAATGGTGCTTTACTTGGGCCCGATAAAAAAGGACGGACTGCGCAAAGGGAATGACTGTATGATGGTGGAAAACTAGGAAAAGCAGGGTAACTTAGGTTTAGGGTTTCATGTATTAACGCACATGATAAATCACCTGGTTCTTCCGATGTTTTATTAAATGTTTAGAGGAGACCTGAAGCTTAAAAGTAAAAAGTAGATAAAATCATATTGTTAGGTGACGCAATCCAACAAGTCAACCATTAGGAGTTGTAATAGTCCGCTATTTCTGAATAGGCGGTAAATTTTGTACAAATTTAATCTCTTCAGGGGTTTTCCACTTATCGTAGGCCTTCACAGGATGGGACTTGTGATAGCATTAAAATTTTTCTTTTGAGAGAGTTCAACACTTTGAACTCGATATTGTTCAACAAATAACTACATCGTGGAATATGCAAAATATGACTTAGGATTATAGTAGGTATTTTTGAAATCAATGGTCACACTCGACGTAGTTGGACACATTTGTGAAACGCTGAATCGCTAAACCCCTTATTATAATATAATGAGTATTAATGACATCGCATCGATTTAATTTATTCAGTTTAGAGCAGTCTTCAGCGTGGAGAAAAAGAGTATCACATGGAATTCATGGGCCGCATTATGTACAATAATGAGAACACAAACAGAACTCATTCCGTTAACAGACGACGCGTTCAAGAGAGACATCGAATATTAAAAACAAGCAATCAAAACTAAGCGGGTCAACGTAGCGTAGCACCTGGCATCGAGAATATGCAAACACAAGGCTCTCACAAATTAAAACGGTGAGAAATTGTCTAGATGAAAGTGGCCCGAGTATGCACCACTCATAAACAAAAAATTCATGGTCTGTGGGTAGAGGGCTTCAGAGGTGAACGGAAGACAATAACATAGCACCCAAATGAACTGCCTTTCAAGGTCCGAAATCAACGGATCATGCTTTACCTGCTGTTTCCTTGACATTTCAGCCGAATCCAATAAAAGTGCGTATTGTTTGGCGCACGCCCTAGCCGAGCACCATGCTGCCGGTCGTGTGAATTTACTCCCACTTGGTGGCGTGAATTTCGCCAAACGGCGTGAAATCGTTGGCCAGGTGAGCTGTTGATTGTCAGCATCCAGCAAAGCCGTAGCAAGCACCAGTCTCTCCCGGAGAGGCCACACACCAACTCGGTGGCCCGCACACAAGAGAGCAGGGGAGGCGAGAGGGGCTGGACGGTGCTGGGGGACATGGGGTGGTGTTTGATGGGGATCCGACGCTGCTGATGCTCGGCTTGCGGCTGCAGCGGCCTTACGTGCGATTCGACGCGCTGCCACCATTGTTGATGAATCTGCGGTCTGACTTCCCTGAAGTCTTCGACGTCGACGACGAGATACAGGTTTGCCGTAGGGCATCTAGTGTCGACTAAAATAGACGCAGACGAGGTTAATAATCGGGAGAATGACTAAGTGCCGAATGCACTATTTGATAAAAATAACTGGCTCCTCTAACATGAAGTCCGAGTCGGAATCGAAATGCGAAAATCCAAAATTTATCTCGTGGGAAATTATTAAGGTATGATCTGAGATGTTCGCATGTTTGAAAATGGGAGCAACACACATTCCAGAAACTATTTTCGGTTTATACAACGCTTGCCAGAGGTTGTACTACAAGCCCAACTACATACGCTGTACTGTAATTAAACAAACGCAAATAAAGTGGTCCACAGATCAGAAAGAAACAAGAACATCCCAACCACGACTCGAACTAAGCTCATTTTGGGGATTTTTACTAAACAGAAATCCCTGATGATTAAAACGCCTAGATTGTTGCGTTTGACCATCCAACTAGGGGGCATTTCCGATCTGCGCAGTGAATTAAGCGCTGAGGACTAAGCAATTTACTGAATCACCTCTGACATTGATTTAATGCCGCACTACAACCAGTAGGCTTATTCAATCGGCAAAAAGTTTGCTATTTTTATCAAAACGGTTGGACATACATTGCTTCAACACCCACGAGGAATCAGGAGGCGGAGTGATCTGGAGCAATCTTAAACGACCCCTCATGCGTCACAAAAAACACTAACAACAGTCAAAAAAGCACAAAATAAAGCATTGTTTATTGTAGGTGATCAACATTATCAAAATACGAAGCATTCAACACATCAATAACCGCATTTACAAAGTTACAATACGGGTGGGATAAAAGAGGAGGCATTTAAGGGCAGGACGAAAATAGTGACTGGTCCGAGTGGTACTGCAAACGCCGAGAAACTTCCTCCGCGCCGAACTTTTGAAAGACTGCCTGCACGTCGGATGGCGAAACGGAGAGGAGCAGGTCGTCGTCGGAGGGAAACCAGAGTAGTGGGAGGCCTGCAGTGTCTCCTGTGGAAGCCAGGCGCTCGGCAACCACGAAGTCACCACTGGTAACATGGAGGAGCAATGCTGCTTCACCAAGGGCGAGATAAAAGCGCCGAGCAAAGAAGTCAAGTTGGCGGCCAAAGTCCACAGTTCTGGAGATGACTGTAGAAATATCTGCTTCGCGTTGCGGATCCATAAACGAAAACTAAGGTACAACCATGTAGTTTGATGAAGATGTAACGAAGGAGCAAACGTCACCTTCTTAGACCAACATTAAGTGATACCGGCGAAAATTATTTGTACAGCAATCATGATTTAAAGCTCAGCTATCTGTTGGCGACAGGTTTTCCGACCTACGATAATCTACTGTACGAGGCACACATAATTCGGTGCTACTATGCATGGAATACCGCTTTAATCAGGTGAAGTTTTGATGTCCATTACATGTATGGATATTACGGATTGGCATTGGTAAAAATAATCAGAGTTCATATTCACAATTTCGTGATTCCACGCTGACAATAGTGCAGGGGTAGGTAGGTGATTCTGGAAGATTCAAAGTGGCCAGTAAGCAGTTAATTATCGGAAGAAACTTATTCAAATAGATTTACCTGAAATATATTAGCATCTATGTATGGAAATTATTGCAACTTGTGGGTGACCTCTGAATCTAAAGTACGCGATACCGGCACTTCCATTTGAAAGTGACTTCGATTCAACATAACGTGAGCAACAATAGCTCGTCAGACAATTATCAACGCTTGAGTATAATATTTTTCAGAAAGTATGGTGAAGATTTCACAGTGTGTTGCACTACATCGACTTCGCGTGAATCCGATTTGAATCTAAGTAGTAATGGATTAGAAAATCCAAAAATACAGCAACACAAGCTGCAAAATGTAAAAATGACATATCGAAATTACTCAAACACGAAATTTGCCAAGTAATACTACGCGGATTTTCTTCAACCGAGGGCACCTGATTTTTCGGTGCAGCAAGAGACTGTGGTAGAAAGTCGACGTCTAATATATACCAGTAAACCAAACTCACTTGAGGCGCATTCTCGACAGCCAGGTCAGATTTTGGAGAAACATGGACTCTATGGAGAACTGATTTTTGGTATGCCGAAGGACCTGAGCGAGGGATAGGACCATCCGACTCGACCAAATCACATTCTTGATGACGTGTGAGACAAAAGCGCATGGAAGCACATTCCGGATCACTGCTAGCGATTTTGTTGTGGCAGGAGGACGGTGTGTCAGAAATGTCAGGTACCTTTGGGGAAGAATGCCTGGACCGAGTACAATTACCAACAATGCGGGATTCGTCTGTACCCGCCGATATACGCTGGCTGTGAAGCGAAGGAAACGAATTGTTTGAAGGGGCGTTAGCAAGTATACTAGGACTAGGAGATGGATCGTTTGAAAGCTCTTCAGGGATCGACTGATTCGGTTGTGGCTGGTTATCATCGTACTCCACTAATTTTGCAATTTTTGAAAGCGGTGGTCGGGGAACATTGGGAGGAGTAACTAAAATCGCGAAACAGAAGCAAGAGTGACTCACAATAAGTAAAACCTGATTACCATAGGGAACACCGACAACTCAAAATCTATAATCGGTAGGATATGCAAACGAACAAGACCCAAAACAGCTGCTCGGAAAAGGCGTCGGAATGTACATATATTAGGTGGAGATTTTCTTTTAAGTCTGGGATTCTCGAAGACTCGAGACCCTAAATTTTTTTGCCATGTATACTGTAATATTGTAGCAAAACTGAAATATCACAAATAATAATTAAGAGCCAAAACGTTACGCAAATTGCTTGATATCCAATAATCAGACCACAGACATAAAATGCAGATGGATTAAACATTTTACATATTTTAAAATAGCCGCCGATGAGCAAAATACGAATTTACATGGAATTTCATGGATATTAGAGGAATTCGTTTCACCTGGAAATTTCACACCCTCCTGACTTTTGTGTAAAATCAGATGATGTGTAGATAAGTTGAAATTGACATGACATGACGAAAAAGGCAAACAAACCCTGGCTATTCGATGCTGCCGCAACGGTTGCATTTATGACCGCTCACATAGATAAAATGACTTACAATTCCTAGGGTCTCCATCATGCACTGAATTGTCGCTAGTGATGCAGGATACGTCAGCAGAAGAAACATCAGTCTCAGAAATAACCGATAAATGAATCTTGAGGCTAGCGAATAGCCGTTGTTGAAGCTTCTTCACGAAACCAGGGGTCGCCGATTTTGTCTTTCCTTCAGGCGTGATTCGTAGGACCTGGGGCAGACGGTGAATAATGTTGTGAATGAAGTGACTCCTCATTGACTCCGATGAGTGGTTCACCAATCCGGCTTCTTCGAGTTTGGTCCAGGTTCTACGTCTGTTCACTTCGCTGAAGGAAGCGAATAGAGCTGGTAATCGGTTAAGATAATGGGCTGAGCCAGATTATTTTATGCGAAAGCACACGTAAATATGACGCGTGAAGTTGGGCAGCTTTGACCAACGTGGCGTGCCCAGTGGGATTTACTGTGTAATATTGGTGTAATGGTGGTTTGCACTACCTTACAACCCCTGCTAATCAACACCCAGTAACCAGATGAGAACACAGAAAAGGAGATAGCGGACACGACCGTTTATTCGCAAACAGATCAACAAGGCTGGTACTTGCATCCGAGTGCGTGAGCACGATTATATTAAGTTTATGAAGAACAACCAATGAAAGGTAAGTGTAACAGATACCAATCAACCTGTGGTAAATCTGTAGACAGCCTACCACTCAAACGTATCTGCTGACAGTCCCCAATAGTACCACACCGGTGATAAGCCATGCACCAATGGATTGGTGTTCCATAGAAAGTGCGATGATTTGCGTACATCCAAGACCGTCTTGAGTTTATGGCCGGATTCACGGCTGAGCCATCTGACCCCGTATCTGTGTGTACCCCTCCTGATACCACCACTGAGCCCTAATATTAATTCAGATCCGTTCTACAATTCACGTTTGTGCGTAACCCCTTTACTCCTGCCAATCGTAAGGTGAAATTAATTACACTGGCTCCTAACCTGGTCACCTTGACGACCTATAATTATGCTTGAGCAAAAGCGATTCACCACCAGTCTTATCGGTGCAATAAACTGCCGAGCCACCATCGTCTTTGGTCACTTCATTCTTATTTGTGTACTTGGAGTCAGGCCAGGTCGCAAGTCCCTCATTGGACGGTCAACAAAAGTAACGTCATGCAAGCTTTGCGTTCCACAAACAAAGATAGTGATGTTGGCTCGCTACTTCTTGGTCGACAAACCATAACCTCTAAAGAGAAATGAGCTATTAATAATGAGGTCACCAAAAATACCACATACAACTAACACAGTAAACGGAGGAGCGATAGCTCGACAGACATCAGGTTTTCGGCATTTACTGAAACACATTCAACGGTTATCAGCGCCGTTTAGACGCTTGATCGAATTGCGCAGGTAGGTGAAAAAATGAAAGGCATATTATGTATCAACATAGTGAAGAACTGACTTTTAAATACAACTTTATTTTAATAAAAAATTTTACCTGTCCCAGCCAGTTGAATTAAGAAAAAATTAACGCTGGCAAAAAAACAACCGAAATAGATTAAAGGGATGAATTTCAACATTTGTACTGTTTTGAAGTGAATTTAGTAATATTATCATAGGAAAAAAAGCATTGTTTTTGTTCGATCTTTCCATTTAATAATTGTCAAAACGATCATCCGTAAAGTGAAAAAATCAAAGCACAAATAAACAAATGTACAGAGCCTTAACACTCCGTTCCTATATTAAAAATGTACCCCCACGGGAGTGATTTCAATCTTAAAAGAGAGGAAAGCCCAAGTGTGAATTGTGGTCCTTACTGTAAGTGTCCAACCAACACTTTTTTTATACAATTGGTTTAGAAAAAGTGAACTTGCACCAAATCAACGATTTTCGTAGTCACTTCAATTGTGTCATAAAATCTCAGTTACTTTTTAATTCTATACTAAAACAGTACCACAACTAGGAAGTAAATGACATTTCTGATTCATACAATCATTATTAAGATCGAGCATCATTGGTGTATGCCTACGCAGCTGACACCCTGAGTAAGGCAGTTTTTGCTGTCGATTTTGACAGCAAAATAATCATGGTTCATCAAAATAAAAATAAAAAATTAAGGCAGACCTAACTTATAAGCAGAAAACAAATCATTCTAAACTACATCAACGCAGAACCTCACACAGCCAAAGTTACTAAAATGGAACGTACTGCATTACAGAAACACGGTCAAAATGACAATTAAGTAAAAGAGTTCAGGCAGCATTTTTTGACTTCTAGATTCCAATTAAAGAAAACGAACATAATTGTAACATAATTGTGCATCTAACTTCACTTTGATACGATTTGTTAGCATAAGCACTCATGAAATAAAAGGCGCTCACTGACAGCTTTGGATTTTTGTAGATGCTAATTTTGTTGCATTTGTTGACAGTCCGACACCATTTTAGTCCTAATTCTTTTGGCAAGCTTGGTAAAACCAGATTAAAATATGCCAAAGAAAAAAATATTGCAAACAATGTTTGGTCAAGACAACACCTCTTGCGAGTCGCACATCTTTTTAATTTGAAATTTATTTTTTACGTTGACCAGTTAGCACGCAAGCATTTCGAAGTGCATTAGCGTTCATAAAAAGACAACAAGATCGTAAATTTGAAGATTCAATAAATGATTTTAAATAAAAAAATAACTTACTCTAGGAGATCGTTTGCAATAAGGTAGTTCAGAATATTCCAGTCCTCTAGGTCCGTATACGAGTTCCGCCGCGGCGAGAAAGACAGTCTCGGAAGTGATTTTTCATCAATTTTATCGTCAATCAGGTTAGTAACTGATTCCTTTCGAGCTAAAATCCTGGGACTGAATCTCAATGAAGGAATGTATGGAATATCAGGAGTAGGAACTAGACTTTTTGAAGTAGAGCCATTTAAAATCCTTCGATGCAATCCGACAGCTGCTAACTCAGAAACGTTTAGTCGGCTTTGCTGAGATCGTTGCCTTGATGGCATGCCTACAACATACGTGCACTAAAAGTAAACGAAATTATAAACTAGCTCAAAAATGGATGAAATATTACTTGAGCCGACCTCTGAGAGAACTACGTTAAGCAGCACCTCATTGATAGTGGAATGGCGTGAGGCAGAAGCAATATTGGGTTATTATCCCACAAGATGGTCGTGTTTAAGAGTCAGACGTGTGTGAAACCTAATCATGTGTAGAATAAATGGCAAGCTATGTTAGGAATGATCAAATAATTAGTAAACGAAATTTAGACTAGGAAAATTATGGAAACGGAAAATTAGGTACGCATCCTAGGTTGATGAAAGTGGAATATTAATGCGTTGTATGAAACTAAAAAAGGATTACTTAAGTGGCTAATGATGAAACCGTCATTGGATAAAACACAGGCTACATTTGGTACAATTACAATTTAAATTTGCACGGGTCATTGTAGAATGCAAGGATACAAAACTTCGATTTTAGGACCCAAGTGAGTGAAGAAACACTGGCGGTGAGTCAAGAGAAAATTTATGGGTTACGAAAGTAAGCAGTGAATAAGTAGTAACAATTTCGAATAATTTTTATTTGTGCTATATAATTGTCTTTCAATATCTTCAGAATCACGTAAAGATAAAAGAGAAAAACCAGTGTTAAGCAACTTAGCAGTTTTTTGAAAAGCCAAACAGTTATACAGAGAAAATACATTACCATTTGTGTGCGCAGATGAGCAACAAATTGAGGCAAAACGTGGTGTGCATCCATATATGTAACAATTATTCAATGGTTTGAAGTCAACATCGAAGTTTATCAACGATAACAAGACTAGATTACGTACTAGGGTACCAATGTGAACTTAAAAGAGTGCGTAACGTTTTGAAATGCACTAAACAACTAAAAAATATACTTAGAACATTTAAATTTGTACGCTATTGTAAAACACGATAAAATTATTAAACAGGTGGGCGTCAGATCAACACATAAATAGAGCGCAATCGATAGGCTAGTTCGAATTGTTACGAAAATGTCTACTTTGATCGCGCTCACATAAATAAATAAAGACCTCTCATTTAACGAACCAGGATGAGTCAAAACTAACACTCGATGTAAGAATCCAGTAAAACAATCACTCGTTAAAAAAATTGCTTCATGTGTAGATTTACACTCAATCACTTATGATATTGACGCAACAGTGAAACAGTACCTTCCTTTTACCTACGTATGAGTTAACAGTAGCGTCAACACAAGGCAGCATGGGCTTAGCATAAATGAACAAAATTTATCAAACATTATGTCGGATGCCTTTGTGAAATTTTAGATTTGTCTATTTAATGTATTGCAAATCTTCACATATTTAATAGCAAGCGGCGTGGTACATTCCAGTGCCATTGTTTACACGATGGTAACTATAATATGCGACGTTTAACAAATCCATTAGGACTAACTACTTGTAAATTTCTAAAGTTGCTGCCACCGAGTTTATGGCCGAATATTAGGACAACAAGAAAACGCCGATTGATTAGTAAACCATGTAGCTGTAGATGAGCAATCAGAGTAGAATTAATGAAATCCTGATGTTAATGCTATATAATAAAATGAGGGTGCGTAAGAGAGAAAGGAGCCACCTAATTGTCTTTTCTATTTGGTTACCTCCTATAAAGTGGTAAGGGAATGTGCGGCCATTATACAACTAATAATTTTGTCATTTTATTGAAAAGTCAATTCTCTAATTTGGATCCTTGGTTGAAATGAAAGAGTCCGGAAAGCCTTTGCAATGAACCAAATAGGAAATGACATCTATAGCTACTGGGCGAGTGTCTTAACTGGTAAGGAGCATCATTCACTTCTGCAATGAAATCACCTATAACCAATAGGTATCTGTTTTATTAGCATGATTATGTAAAAAGGCGTATTATGTCGATATCTGCCTTTTGGCCTTCTCAATCTTTGATATTGTGTTCCAGTAGGAATATGTGTCTTTTTTTGCGGTCCTTGAGTTCGATGAACGTGTAATATACGGTGCAATTGAGACGATGCTCACGTTTGACATCCAATTACCAAAAGCCTTACCATGCTGGCTAATGTTTTCATTTGTACAGCTGACCGTAAATGTCGCCGCTGTTTGAGGCACCACCAGACACATGGGGAGAGTGACATCGTATCGGAGGCAAAGGACCTTATTAAGAAAATAAGAGGTTTTTTTCAAAATGACCATAATGAGTGTACTCCTTACTTTTATCGTTCATTGCCTTGGCCATTAGTTTTAATTGCCTGAAGAACTGTGATTTAGAGACTAGAACGGTGTCGTGGAGCTTAAATGTACGAAAATGGCGCTGGCGTTGCCAGTTTAATGTGACGTGCGTGGATTCGGGTCTACGATTTGAAGTCAAGAGAGGACGTCCTTGTTGCCATGTTTCTTTGCTGAATCGAATTCAATCTGGAAGCCAAGTTTGGCTTGGGCTTCATGCCATCAATCTAGCTGCCCTTCTGGTTCTTAAAAACTCTTTGGCCAGGGGAGGGCCTGGTGATCAAATTACGTAAAGAAGAATTTTTCTACAATATACACAAAAAACCTCGTGGCTAACTTGACGATGACTAAGTATTCGAGCTTATCGGTGCTGTCTTTGTACTTTACCTTGCACAGAGCCCGGTTAGAGTATGCAGCGACATGTCCTTCACTATCAATACTGAGTTGAGGCAAGACTGCGAATATGATATGGCTGTGTGCGTTGGTGTCATGTATAAATAGCGGAAAGCTGGGGCCCAGGCTGGGAAAGGTCAAAATGGGGTTGCAATAATCGTTTGCCTACGTTGTGCGGAACCCTCCTAGTATTATCTTGTCTAGTCAAAGGTTCTGCCTGTTTGTGAGTCGCTGCGAAGGCAACAGGAGCCATTCTACGTTATGGTAAGAGTGATTGGTACAGCCTATGGAAAGGATAAATGGGCCATCATGCCTTCTGATAGGAGCTTGTCTCTTTTCTTGGTCAGATTGGTGCAATAGTGAAATGAAATTCGTCGTGGTAGTAATATTTGTATTGGATCGTCGCTGGTGTGTACGATATGCTGGATAACACTTGTTCTACCGATATTGGGATCTGCAAATTAAAAAAAAACATTGGCATGCTGCACTAAAACTTTTTCAGGATAATTTGGCTACCCTGAGGGATATTGGAGGGTAATCTGTAAGCTATTAATAGATAGCTGATGGAGTCACGAGCGCGAGATGTAAAGCTAAATTATGGCTGCTAACGTGGCTTGTGGTGCAGTTGGTTGGGCACTTGTGCGCAGTAAAGAAGTACCCTAAGATTACGTTTCATATGTAGACCAAAGTGATGAGGATGATATGTTGCTCAATGATTGAACCCACCCGTAAACAGGCCGTAACTGTGCACGTATTTTTTAGTATTAAGTTATTTGCTGCGAGAATATTAATGAGGATTGGCTGCTTTTAAAGTTTTCTCTGTCCTTATATTGCGAGAGGACAAGATTTGATAAAGTTAACTGAGTTAATAAGTTGAATTGACTTACCAGGTGGGTTTCTTTAACCACATCGCCTAGCCGTCTTACCAAAACCCCGCAATACCCACTTACCAACGGGTTGTGAACACAGATCGGCTGAGGTCTGCAAGCTGCAAGCAACGGTCTCGCCACTTTAAGTCCAGCTTTGGGTCGAATGGGAGGGGTCAGGTTGTTGTGGAGCTTAAATAAAGTGGAGGTGTTGAGTATTTAAGACTGAAGCAGGTTTTAGATGAAGCTGGGTTAAGTTACGTGGGCTTAGGCAAAGTGTGTTTGTGAGCATAGGCATGTTGATGTGTCTTGACTCTTCCGATGATAGCAAAAAGTTTATTCGAGGAATGAGGAACATTGCTACCGATTTATTGTACCAGAAGAGGATCCTATATATATCCGTATAAGGGGCTAAGGAGTTCCATGATGCATTTTTGAGAGGCTTTTCCCGGAGCCTTACAACGATGATATAGCTAGTACTGCAGTTCGAATAGGTGTAAGCCAGAACGAAAGAGAGGGTTAAAGGCCCTCAAAATTGAGCATTGTGGTAATAAATCAAAATACTGTTCAATAGCTCCTAAAAAATTGGGTGAATGAACTGAGTGTGTGAAAATCCCCTTGATGATCTTGTGGGACTAAGGGGGTTGGGAGATGAGTAAATGTGTGCCACTGTTTTATATTGTGTTGAAAGTAAAGGGTAGGGAGTTGGACCAGGAAGACCGATCGAAAAGAACATTTGGTAAAAGGGTCGAGGAAGGGTTAAGTGCGAGTGGTATGAAACGGGCTGAGGCAGATTTGTGTAACAACCCCCCTCGTCGCAGGTTGACAAGTCATCGGCGGTAAAGGTAGAGCTAGAATCAAACTGATGGTTATTGCGTTGACACAGCTGATTAGGTATACTTATAGAAAAAAAAACTTTGAGTATTCAGGGTTTGGAACACAATTATTAACCGTAACTACTAACGGGCACCATTGTTACTAGAATTTTAGGAGCAGGCCTTGTACTTATGAATGAATGAGCATGTTGTGGGCCTCAGAATGTGGTCTTGAACCTCGCCTAGGCCACGAAATTAATACTGGGCAAGTTCACTTTTTGTCAGATACCCGCGATGAAAAAAAAATATTGGAGAGGACATGGACACAGCCATTTACTTCAGAGATCATCCACGTTGGTTTCGTCGTGTCGTGAGTGGGACGTGAACGTGTGTATTTATACCTCAGATTCGTGGGTCATAGATGAGCTTACATCAAAGCCTGGGTGTAAGGATGATCCAGGATAAAAATTTGTGTGAATTAAGGGGGAGTTGAGAATCCGCGCGGCTGGCAACATGCTGCGAAAAGGGGAACCCTGTGTTGGAGGTGGAGCGACCGTTTTAAGGGTTGTGAATAAACACGATTCACAACAAGTACAAACTGAGTAACAGTGCACATGTTCTTTGTACATACAGGCATTTACGCACATAGGACGATTTATAAAGGGCACAATTTCAGAAGGAGATTACTCACGATAGGAATACGAGATACGACTAGGTGCGATGAGTTGTGTACGTGGTACATCAGGTTGAATACTACAATGCTAACATAGAGTGAAAATTTGGTTTGACGTGCACTTGTTTCAGCAGGATAGTACTTCGTGCAGAAAAACCTACTAAAGAAAACTCATCTAAATATTACAAAAATAATAACTTTGTAGTACTGTATTAATAGTCAATACAGATTAAGTCAAACAGTCTTCCCCAGATCTGTGCTGTGGCAGGTCCAAAGGCTAGTGCTTTAGCAGTTTATTTTGAATAAATTTATGAGGAATTAGAAGAGTATCACATTGCTTCGTGCGCCTCGTGATTTTGCAATAAGGATTATGCCTTGAAATATGAGTCTGATACAAAAATGCATGCAAAATCCGGCATATGACCTATTTAAACCTAACTTTCTGTCTGTTAGACAAAAAAGAGACAGTTTGCTTGCATAATAAATATAAGAGAATGTGAATGATGTCCAAAGCAATTAGAGAAAGTGATTTATTCGTGAGACTGCTGAAGGTGAGGTAAAATTGCAATTCATTTATGCTTATTTAATGAGTTCATTTTTAAAGTGTTTTATGGCTTTTAACAACCAAGGACCTAAAACACTTCCGGGGAGTAGAATTTTTGTCCTTTTTTTAAAATAACGAAAAGAAATTATTTTCTGCATGTTATTGGTCAATTTATGGTATATCAGCCAAGGTTATTGCCGACCAAGCTCAGTCAATTTGAACGCTCTCGTAAGCCATTTGGTGACTTTTTACTGAAAACGGTTGTGGTTTTAATACTTACTAAGAAGTTGTTTTGTTTCTTTGCAACGGCATTTTCTTGGTGTCTAGTTATTTATGCATCCTTACTCGACGAGCTGATGTCATGTTGCATTACATGAACAGAATATATATTTTATACTAATATGGACTTTCAGTTGGCATCGACTTAAGTCTAATAATAATAAGCAGTTTCCGAATTCTACCTTTGAAACCTTCATTTCTCAGATTTTTTCAATTGACTTTTGCCACCTTTGCATTTTCTGTTGAAATTAGATTTTAGCACCACCACTCCATCACTTGTCTCCCTCATTAACGTCAAATTTAATGGGAAGCTTTCAACCTGGATGGTAATATCGCTTGATTTTGTGATTATTTGCACACCTCATTGTATTTAGCGACTTTATTCATTTAATTATGCTCAAATTCGGTTTTAGCGCATCTGCGTACATAAAATAGGTAATCGAACAACCTGGAAAATGTGATGCAAATGAGCATTTTTACCCTTTCTGTTTTCTTTTTTGTTTACGCTTTGGAATTTATTTTCTTTACGAACCTGGTTTTGCGGTTTATTTGTGCCCGAACATGTACTCTGGTTGCGCCTAATTTTTATCACGCACTCAAATCGCAGTTTTAATCAAATGTGTAGCGTTTTGTTTTTGAAATTCCGCTGCCATGAAATTACCCGAATAATAGTTAGCCGTTCTTTTGACTGCTACACTTGTTTTGTAACGCTTGTATATATAATCTTTGAAATACCCTGTTTTGAGCGTACGCCTTAACAATAATCGCAATTCGTGGAATTTAGCGATAGTGTTATTTTGTCTCATTGTAACAGGGTCTCATAAGTTCTAGCCGTATTGAATTATTTAATATCTAGTCTTAGCGCTTTCCAATGTCTTCCTAAGTCGGTCACATCGGATTCTTGTATCGTTCCTTTAGTTTCTCGCTCATTTTATTGGTGGTTGGAATGGGTGCTTTTTTGCAACTAAATATTATTAATGTTGTCGATAAACACGCTTATTATGTTTACTCCTGTTTTCCACTCTTGTCCTCTTTTTAATTGGCTGCTGTGGGAGAGCGTTCTTAGCACGCCCCACCAATTTTTCCCCTAGGAACAGGCACGCCCTTTTACGCCCGTCGGTAGGCTTTGATTCGTCAACTGTTTCCACAAAAATTAATTTTTGGTAGTCGATGTCTCTTTCCCAGTGGTTCTGTCTCTGTTTTCCTAGAGCTGCCATTCCGATGGAGCAAGTATGTCTGGATCTGATTAAAGCCACCTTCCATGGCGATGAAGTGCATTCGCATGTTTTTGTTGTTCTTGGAGCGTCAGGAGATCTTGCCCGCAAGAAAATCTATCCTACCCTCTGGTGGCTCTATCGTGACCGTCTGTTGCCGAAAAAAACCTTTTTTATTGGATACGCCCGTTCCGATATTACTGTTGATTTAATTCGAGAAAAATCAATTCCATACATGAAGGTATGGGTCTCTTATTTTTAATATTTACACGTTTTTTAAATAGAATGCCTGTAATTATTGCTAAATTAATGTCGAAGTACATTTTTGAAAAAAAAGTAGTGTAAAATTGACTAACTAATGTATCGGCGAGAGGCAGCAGTCTAAATGTTGACTCGGACCTGAAATCAAGTTTTTTTGATCATTAAGGTCAAAAACAACAATCCTGAGGAGATGAAAAGATTCGAAAATTTTTGGAAGAAGAACACTTATCTTAAGGGCGGCTACACGGATTTGAAGGACTTTAAGGCTCTTGATGAAATCATCACTTCAAAATATGGCGAATTCGTGAACCGGATCTTCTACTTGGCTCTGCCTCCTTCCACATACATGTCGGTCTCCGCTTGCCTGGCAGAGTGTTGCAAGACCAAACAGTGAGCCACCAACTTGTGTTGAATTGGGTGTTCAGAGGTGTTTCTAGGAGCTTGACACATTTCCTTATTCATTGACATAAAATAGGGCCTCAAATTTCTCTAAAAATGATTTCTGTATTTGCTGTCGATATAGTCCTAAATCTCAAGTCGGTTTGCTTGGAAATACTTAGTACTGTCTTACTTGCTGCTGTGGACGGTCCACTGAGTGTCGCACTAGCTCTCTTATCCAGTGTTTTATGTTGTCGTGCACTCTCATGGAAATTACGTGCGATTGAAATCAAAAATAATTTTTTTTTCGTACAAATGGGTTGATATGACAAAATAAAGCATCTTAGCCGAAATATCCACTTTAATTCCCTTTAAATTATAACGTTTTCTCTGAAATCAAAAATGGAAATTTGCGTGCGCAAATCCACAGATTTACTTGATATAGGACAGCTTATGTTTATTCTAAATGTTTTTAAATTGGGGCAGAATTTGTTACACCTATGACTAAAATTTTACGTGATGTTTGGCTAAAGCACCACTAATATGAGGTTACGGAAGGGCAGTTCGTGTAGAGGTGTTAATAAGCCCGCCAAGACATGCCACCTGTGATGTACCCTCAACTTTAATCTCAGTGGAACATTTCACATCAGACTTGCATTGCAACCCGGGTGGTCGGTCCGTTTCTGCATGAATTGTCGTCATGTATGTCCTTAAGTCTATTCACTTGTTGTAAATTTTAAGTAATGTGTAGTTTACATGCGTGCCCTCTTCACCGTTGTAGCCCCGATGTTTGGACTCGTTTGATCATCGAAAAACCCTTTGGTCGTGATTCGGAAACTGCGCGGGAGCTTTCGAACCATTTAACGAAACTATTTACTGAACAGCAAGTCTACCGCATTGATCATTACCTGGGAAAGGAGATGGTACAGAATCTCCTCATATTGCGGTATGTCTTGTGGATTTTTTTGCAATCAAAATGAGGGGCGATGGGTTTTAGGCCTCCTCTATAAATTAAGATGCATTACCGAACCTTTGTTCAGCCTCATTACTGACATTAGTCCAAATCTTTGTTATCTCTGGTTGTTTCCCACTTTTCTGCCGACCATTAGGTTCGGCCACCTTGTTTTGTCTTCACCTGATATCTTGCTGTCGTTTAGGCTTTTTTGATAAACGTCGTTCATTTGTATATTTGGTACTCTGTTACCAGTGGTCGGGACATTAATCATGATGGTTAAGTTAAAGATAAATTATAGCCAAGGTAATTGATAGCACATTTGTTTCTAGATTCGCCAATATGATCTTTAATCCCCTATGGAATCGGGAGCACATCAGCAATGTGATAATTTCATTCAAGGAGCCATTTGGAACCTCTGGTCGTGGTGGATACTTTGACAGTTTCGGGGTCATCCGGTAATTTATTGATTTGGTCTCCATGTTGTTTGTCATTCTTAATTAAGTTTTGGCCACTCTTGCAAATGATCATGTTTTCAGATTGTTCGAGTTTATCGCTTATCTGATTCCATGTTGCTTTGCAACAGTCCTGTTGTCCGTCAACCTGTTGACGTTTTAAATCAGACTTTAGTCATGGCCAGTTCAAAAAAAACGTCTTCAAAAGAAATGATAGGTGGCGTTGTCAGGACCCAGTTGGTACGCCAAGAGCCCCACACACACACACACACACTTCCCTCAGCTTTGTCTATCAGTGAATGTCCGCATGCAGTTGGGCGATATCTCAGCTATTACTCTGATTGTTGCCCTGATATGGCGGTAAGTAGAACACACAACTTGGAAACACCTCAATTTGTCTACTCACCATGCATTTCTGCGCTCTGTGGTTGCGTTTGCATTATTACATAAGTGAATTTTTTTGCTTCCCAGAGATGTACTCCAAAATCACCTAATCCAAGTCCTTGCCCTATTGGCCATGGAGAAACCCCTTTCTATGGATGCTGAGGATATTCGCGGTGAAAAGGTTACATAACTTTCCATATTCTTTTGTGTGATTATTTCTAAATGAACTCTTGAATTTAGGCAGCCGCGGTACATAAATTTAAGTGTTCTGTTTGCCATGCTTTCGGAATCGTTATTCTCCATCAACCCTGCACTTGAGTGCTCAGTGAAGTGTACTGCTAACTCATTTCTTTGTCGGAACTTAGGCTAGTGAATAATTTAATTATTTTCTGGGGTTTTCAAGGGTTCTTGCACCCGTGTTAATTCCATCAATCAGGCGCCTAAGCTTCGTTTGATCTCCGGATTACAAACCGCAACACTCTTCAGAAATAGGTGAAAGCCCCATAACCTCTAACCGGGTTATATCGCGTGCGGTTTTTATGCCATGTTCGATTATGGGCTTCTGTCACTGTCTTTTCACTGTAAAAATTTAAATTAGTGCCGTGATTGTTTCGAATTTATGCCACAAAATCAGTTAACACTTGAGAATGTCGAGCTTACATAGGATTTCTCTTGAATGCTTCTGATGCGACATGATCTAACACTAAGCACCCGGTGAAGAATAGGAAAACCTCGATGGGGGGAGACTCGACTCTTTAGCGAGCCAATAGACCGAAGTTATGTGTGGTTAACATGTACAGGAATATAATTATGCATCAAAGTGTCAAGTTTAACGGGGTGGAATCACTGCAGGTAATGAAGACGATGCTTGTCCCCAGTAGATGTTAGCACGCTCTTCGATGCGCTACTCGTTGATGCGTCTTTGAAATGCAATTGCGTTGGTATAACTGATTTTATGTATCTTCTGGGTCTTGATTCGCCGTCTCAGGTGAAAGTTCTGCGTTGCATCAAACCACTCACCCTCGAAAACCTCGTGGTTGGCCAGTACGTGGGCGACCCAGAGGCCACGGACGAAAGCGCCAGGGAGGGCTATCTGGATGATCCTACAGTCGCAAAAGGTTTTTTCTCCTTACCTTGTTTCTGTAAACCCTGGCAATTTAATGCTTTTTAATGTCCTGATTGGCACCTGCAACTATGTGTGATATCTCCACACGTACATTTTAGTCAGTTTACCCCTTCATTTGCGGCATTGCTTGTTGCGACACTATCACAATTTTTATTAAAGGCCTTTGAAATTAATTTACGCTGCCGTGATTTGTGGCCAATTACGTGTGTTCTCACCTTTACCTTGTCTAGTTCCATTCTAATTGCCTAGTGTAATTTATCGGTTCGGCATTTGTTGACTTGAATACTGTTTTGCCCCTTATTTGCGTGAACTTGGAATGCTCCGGTTCGTGATTACTATCAAACCAAAGCAGCTTGCTAAACTGGCTATACTACGCTCTATGCCTATAGCTCCGTGAAGAAATGTACGCATTGCTGATTGAGTCTAACGTTGTTCACGATGCGTACGCTGACCAGCAGATATTTTTCAGCTTCGTCGTCTGTACTTAGTAAGAGCTGTGGGGAATCAGAAGTTATTAGTAGCTGATAGTTTTTCTTGTATACCACACTTGTCATTTTTCAAACTAGCTCCTCTATTAAAAGGACATTAAATCAATTCTATTTTTGAGTACCATTAAAATGGTTTATTCTTAGGGATGTTGCGATTATTGTTTGAGAGTTTTCACAGTTTCAGGCTAAACAATGAGTGCATAGCAGTTGCGTGTCGCTCGCATTTGAGTCTATGGTAGGTTGTGAGCATCAGCCTACCACATAGAGGCTGTCTCCTGGTGCTGTTAATCACTCAGACCGCGTTTGCTCTAGATTTGATGCATCACACAGCCGTTATATTTTGCATGCACGCTTCAGAGTAACGACAAAAAGTCACGTTTGTACAAATCATGTGCTGGATTTAGACGAAACCTTCTAATCAGATTCGTATTTTAAGTCTTAGTCGTTATTACTATATTAATTACTGCTCCAACGATTTTAGATTCGCTGACACCCACTTATGCATGTTGCGTTCTTTACATTTCCAATGACCGCTGGCAGGGCGTGCCATTCATTCTGCGAGGAGGAAAGGGTAATTTTGATGAAATTAGAATTATTATTTTTCTCCAGTTTTTAGTCTTGACAGCTAGAATTACAAGTCGGCATTTGTAGGATGTGGTGTCAGACTAATCCCATTTTATTGCAGACAAACACCATTCGTAAACTCAGAAATGCATTTCACCCGCAATGCGTGTGAATGTGTGAGTCCATGCAAACTCGATTAATGACATCCTGTCATCTGACAATTTAATTGTGGAATTATGGCTTTGGAAAGTGCTTCAAAGCCTGAGGGCGTAAGGTAGGTAGGTAGGTAGGTCGGTGTGTCAAAACTTTAGTTAGGTTGTAAAACTCCATCTTGCCTCGGAGGATAACTTGCAGCTGGTTTCGTCATGGTAGAACGCTAATCCTTCTGTGCGCCTGCTTTTGTATGTATGTGTTTTGTTACTGTAAGTCTCCGTGCATTGCATTGTATTGAAATGCCTATCGGTATCGAGTACAGTGCTTATGTAATCGATATCCTGCGTATTTTGGTTTTCTTAGTAAAAGGTGTGCAATATTATGGAACTTTTCTTCGTCTGTGGTGGAATTACCTGGACACACTGTTTACAATTAAGTTGTCCTCAAACATGCCGCATAAATGGCGGAGCCAAGTATTAAACCGAATCGTAGACGGTACGCAGCAGTTTAGAAGGGACAAGTTTATCACGACCAAGTTTATGAAGTAGCACCATCGTCTAAAAAACTTTGCATCATGGGGTCCTACCACTTCTCCCGACATCAGCACACAATTATGTATACTCCGTGTTATATTCTCTCTTATGGCAGCTTAATTTTGTCAGCATCCGATTCCGCGTAATGTAGTCTGAATAACTTAGCCAGTAATTGTTTGGTGACCATAATTACAGGTTGCCTTTGTTTCTGAAATGGGTATTCTACAAGTGGTGGATCTTCAAGCTTTGATTTTAGGATATATTATCTTCACGTCATTATCCTCACGGATATTACCTTTGCAGTGTTTTTGTACAATACGCGACACGGGGATATTCCCATAATGCAATGTTGCTAATTAATGTACATGGCTAAATTCAATCTTCTGAGTTATAGTCATGAAGCACCTAGGTTATCGAGTGCAAATGTCTTAATAATGTATCCTTAGAGAATCAACGCACTAATTATCGGATTTTACAGGATCCGTTGATGCCTCTGCATGATCATAGTGATCGTTGGTTGCGTCAAACTTTCCGCTTGCAACCCTGACAATTAGCCTTGAATATTGGGCGCTTTTATTGCAGCATTGAACGAACGGAAAGCAGAGGTTCGGATACAGTTCAAGGACCTCGCCTTTGACATATTCAGTAAGAATGCTCAAGGAGAAGGCCAAGTAGTGCGCAACGAACTTGTTATTCGCGTGCAGCCCGATGAGGCTGTGTACCTTAAGCTGATGACCAAGAAACCCGGCATGGACTTCATCCCTGAACAGACAGAACTAGACCTAACTTATTCCCATCGCTTTGAGGTAAGTCAAGTTCTTTTCTGTTAACTGTGACAGACTCACACTCGTAGGCCCAACCGGCTGGTCACAGGGATTATTTTCGTCCTGTTTTGTTTGTTTTTAGCATCTCACACTACCAGATGCCTATGAGCGTCTCTTGTTGGATGTCTTCTCGGGCTCTCAAACGAACTTTGTGCGCGTGGATGAACTTGATGAATCCTGGCGCATCTTCACCCCTGCCCTGCAGGAACTAGAAAGTCGGAGCATAAAACCTCTTCCGTACAAATATGGCAGGTAAAGTAAAAGAATTAGGCGATTCGTCTGAAAAAAACTGAGTTTGAGTAGTCCTGATGCTCCGGTAGAAAGAACCCTTTGCGGCCGACACAAGAATGACACGAGGATGTGTTTCAATTTGTGGTTTTTTGTTTTGAGGACAACCTAGGTGAAACGGAGTGGATGTAGTCTAGTTAACATCGATTTATCCGAAAGAGACTAAATGAGTAGAAAACAAATGACCTTGCTACGTCAACGTTCAAGGATTCTTCAAAAGTAGTAGTGTTAAAAAGTTTCTGTAATGCATGTTTATCAATAATGCGTCCATTTTCTTTGTAAAGGCAAATTTTAACAACTGAGAAGTGATATTTAAAAGCTCAAGTTGCTGTAAGCGATCAAGTACCAACCAAGTTGGTAAGCATAGCCTGGTCTACAGACAACAACAGCAACAACAAAGGGTTAACCTCACAAAGGACACATTTAAGAACAATTTTCCAGGAAAGTCAGGAAACGGGTGCACATAATTCAAATTCACTTATGACTTTTGTCGACGCCTATTTCCACTTTCGAATGGTGTCTTCCTCTTACCTGTGTCCTCACCGTCGCAAGTAAAGCAAAAATAGCATGCAAACGTGTAAACCGGGACTCAGTTCTGTGTTATGCACAAATACACGCGAAATGCGTTGGACGTACCATGATAAATCTGAATAACACACCTACAGCAGTGTAATTTAGCCCGTCAGGAACGGTATCACATAGGTGAATGAGTTCCGGAACATATCCTCTGACTTGCGAGTCTTATGCTTACCATGGCTTCTTGAACGCAGCCGTCGACCATCGCATAAAGTATCACGGTAGTCGTATGTCAAGGAAGTCGGGAATTCCATAAAGGTTTCAGGTCACAGAGACGACAATTGGCGCTACCGCAGTGAGACTAAACGATGATTTCCGGAACCACAGTGCACCTTTGTGATTCTACCAAGAGTCACTTGTAACTAATTGGGCTAAACCGTCGCAGACATCTGCCCGGGCACTGATGCGATGGCGCTTTACAACAAAGGCCTTCGAAAAAAAACGGATTAAAAATTGTTTATGTTAACAAATATTATCATATTGACACGACCGTTGAGATTCGGAATATGAATAAACAATGCCAGTTTAATGACATCCATCCTTATAATATACAGAATAAGGTGCGCAGCATCATAAGGAAAATCAGCTTCGTGAAATCCATGTCGGTTCTTTCTGTTGACCAACTGTTAGTCCACTGAAAAGGCAGATGCACGTGGCTTGGGCTCTGTCACGCCTGCTTAAGCGCCACTGGGTGGATATTTCGCAATAATGCCCTGCTCGCACACTCAAGTGTGCAATCCACGAGTGAACAGGTGTTGTCGACAAATGGACTCGAAATTGCACCGGAGGCACGCTCTCTCTCTCTCTCCCTCTCATTCAAATGCCTCAGGCTCATTCTCATTCCACTTCCTCTGATTCGACATTTGATGGCGCCGTTTATGGGAAATACTAGGGTTAAAATGCATTGCCCGCGTCATCTTCCGCTTCACAAACTCACCTTGTGCAATGCTGGTTTACTGACATGCTTCCCTTGGACGAAACCCTGCTCCAGTCCACTTATTTTACTAAGGTACAACCTCTCAAATCGCTGGCAATGGGGCTTTTTGTTCCCGTTGATTTATAATATCCCCAGATGTTAATCCTACACCAAGGATCTATATTATCAGCTACCACTTAGTCGTATCGTGGACCATTATTTTGCTGTAGGGCTTATTGCTGCTTTTACTTAAATTTTGACATGCTTCATGAGCTAAAACTGTGCCTCTACCTCGACCTGATATTTTGGTCACCCGTATTTTTTCCAACTAGTCGAAATGGTCCTGCTGAGGCGGACGAATTGATGCGTCGTGCGGGCTTCGTCTTTTCTGGGAATTACCGTTGGCGCAGGCCCTCCGTCCCTATTCGCAATGGAGATTGCAGCTAATTTTATAGTCTTTTATTAATCCATTTAACGTGTTCTTATTACAGCAACTTTACGTATTTTTTCTTCCATATTTGTTTCATTTAGTGGACTCAACTTCCGAGCTTTTTAAAGAAGTCGTTCCTTTTTTGTCACTGGAAAAGATTCTCCTCCGTATCTCTGGATTTATGTCATTCTTGGTTTTTTATACGTTTCTATTTCTTTTAGACCATTCCCTATTTCTGTGTAGCCACCGACTTCGTATTTATTACCGTTTTTATCTTTTTCGAACACCTTCTGATTCACATTACCGACATAACTCACTGTGGCGTTTTAACTCGTCGGCGTGTGCCTCCTATGTGCTATCGACACTTCGCATGGCTTCCACTTCGGCTGATCCCGAGAAAGCCAAAATTGCGGAGCTATTTGTCTAACATCACTCCTTTGTTGTTTATCCGTTTGCCGAATTATCGTACTTGTCATTGTCTTGAATATATTTGGCTAGTCGCCCGTATAGTTGGGTCTTTTTTTAGAATTGTTAACCCATTTCATTGTTATGCCATCAAAACTAAACGGTTTTTATGTCAATCAACTATGCTAATTGAAATCATAACAACCGCGTGCACCTCGTACCAGGCGGTCGAAAACATGGTGGGGTTTTGAATTAGTTTACTCACTGTTTGGTGAGTATGTAGTTTTCTCAACGTTAATGACTTCTTAAGCGTACATCTAGCATTAAGCTTATTTAGAACTTAGAGGTGGACCCGTTCACTCGTTGTGTGGATTCATATTAGGGAGCTCCTTTGTAAAATGCTACCGGTCAGGGTGTTGTGCCGATTAGCGACATGCCATACCAAAATAGAAATTATGTCGCCGGAAAAACGTGCAGTAAATTAAGCCACATCTGTGGCGATGGTTATGATTGGTTTCATGCTTGAAGGCTGAACCTTTTTTTTCGAATTAGTGTTGGCCTTGATTAGTCTGACCCGTAAATTTCCGGATTGTGTGTCGACATTCAACTAATTGGTGTCTCAAAACCCGCGGTTCAGCATCGCATTTCAGTAAACGTAATCTTAGCAAGAAAATTTTGTACACGGTTGGCTAAAGCTTGTCATGAGAGTGGAATTTTCCAGTTCCTAAATTGGTCAATCGGTACATTTGACCTGTGTCAACTCTAAAAAGCCGTTAGTCGAGGTTTTACTTTGCCTTCTTGGTTGAGACATGAACAATCCGCTAAAAGTAAACCATAAATTCAGACTTTTCAGCATTTCCTAAGTGTATAATTGTCCCTTTTGTTTGCTTCTGATTCCGCGCATTATCGTTTCTTAGACTTTCTGGTCTTCGTGGTGCGATTCCGTTTACGTGATTTATGTTTGGACACCACTTCACTTCCAGATGAGAGATCATAGTTAAGAGGGGGTTTAGGCTGAGTTTGTCGAAATTTTGAAGCAACAACCACAGCCGGCTGCACCTCAAATTGTATCAACTTTCCGAAAACTGGATTTTCAATGTTCTCTGTAGACTTCAATCCGCTTTTCCCTGAAATTTCCATCCTAAGCCTTCTCAAGTCTATTTCCGCTGTCAAGCCCTTACCCCTTTTTATTTCAACATCCTTTAAGAAATTTCCCTTAATTACTGCGCCACCTCTTCCTGTAATTTTATTGTTTTCTGATTCCTCATTCTCTTCTGACTCTTCAACTTTCCTATGCTTTTGGTTTACCACGACTGGTCGTTCTAGCCAAAGCACATAGATAGTCCATGCAAGTTGGGCTGTTGAAAGCCCAGATAGCAGAGGCACCAGAAGGATAAGCCATCCACTGTTTAGCCCGAGGGAAGAGAACAAATTCTTCATTGTCCTCATTTCGTCTAATAGGAGCTGGGTCTCTGTCAAATTCATTTGACTAATCAATAATTTGATGAGTTTGAAGTGCTACAAAGAATCAAGAATTTGATTTAGGTTTAAAGTAGTTTGGGGTCCTAAGCTAACTCGATAAACAGTTTGGTTTTCAGTGATGCCACAAAAGTCACCTAATTAAAGACGATCCGATGTGTACCATTAATACTGATTTTAGCCACTAAATTTTTTTCTGGTAGCCGATTTTATGGGACTTCAAGTTAAAAATACATTTGTCTAAAAACATGGCTTCATGGAGGAATATTTCGCACGCGTTTGATTGGCCCTGCAGGTCTGCAATAAAGACCAAGTCGTACACCTTAGAGCTACTAGGAGCCGCTCTTCTTTGAAACATATTTTTTGCCATTAAAATAACCAGTCTTTCATTAAACATATTTTTCAACCTCTACTACTCCAAGAAATGTCGTTTTGTACTAATGGAAGGGCTTTTTCAATGCGCATGTCATTGTAATCTTAGCTAATGGTTAAAATTGACGGGTTGGACCGATAAAATGGGTGCTGTGAATGTCACTGGTTCTGTCACTGTTCGTCTCAACTTACAAACAGGATTGTTTGTCGATTTCAATATAAGTTCTGATATTCTAATGGTCCAAAAGATTGTAATATTTCGAGTACAATATTTTTATTGATGTCAAGTGGAGTAACAATTTTTAGTGGTGCGAATGCTAAAAAAATCAGGTGAATTTAGTGTTAACTGAGGTGCTAGATCCGCCACCTCGGAAGAGGTTTAGATACAACGATAGCCTTTTTATTGGAAGAAGCGTGCTTCTGTTTTATCTCCATTGGTATAGATTTAAAACCGATGGTTTTCGCAGACCGTGGTCTTCGCCTAACTGGTGGTTTCATATCCTGGGTTGGCTTTGTTGTATTAGGTCTAGATAAATTGTTACTTATATTTGTTTGCTCAATCAACCTGTGGATTCCGGCAGTTTGAATGTTCATATCACCCTGATCTGTTGGTACGCTTTGATTTAGAAATTCTTGTGAAATTCTTCTTGATCGGGGGACTATTTCAAGGCTACCTGTCGCCTCTGACGGCGTGTTAGGTCCATTACTACAACTTTGCTGTCCTTCATCAGTGACTAAGTGACATTCAGTTGTAAAGACTGCTGATACGGATAGCTGTCGCGGTTTGTCCGTCGCGGCAATAGCAGTAACGGGGTTTTCATTTGGACTGCTTGAGGACTTAGGTCTATTTCTCGATTCCCTCACCTGATCAACAAGTTTCTCATCTACGAAACCTTGAATAATCGCCAATCTCTTCAATTCCATGCGCAACTCGTGAACCTGTATTGGTTCCAGATAGTATGATTCAAAAGCGTCATCACTGAAGATGTTAATTTCTTCCTGGCAAGACTTCCAGTTGGTGTTTGGTACTTGCTGATTAAGACCAGTACCTAATTCTACCCACTGGGGCCAGAGGGTCACTTTCGGGTCTATATGTGGCGGGGGTACAAGAAAGTCGTCCAACATCCGCGTAGCAACAAGTCCTGAGAGTAAGATCTTCGTCAGTCGTTGGTAGGGCTTTGTAAGACATCTGTTCTTCATTCGGGTAAGCCAAATTATTAAAAATGCAAAGCATTCATCTCGATCTATGGCAATAGCCCTCATCGCTTCAGTGGCCTCGGCTGGCTGAAGAGATCGAATTTCCACCGGCGTTACTCTCTGAGGCATATGATGACGTTTTATTGGGCTACGGCCTGGTTCAATGCTGTAGGCGACAGGTCCGTGTGGCATAATGTCCTGCTTGAAGAAGCCGAGGTTCTCTAGAATTTCCAAAATGTCAATCATCCGGTTCGCACAATTTGTATAGGCTGGAGTGATTCCGCGCCGACAGATTCGTCTGAAGAACGAAAACCAAATAGGCGTCTGTTTTTCCTCATCGTGGTTCAGGTAAACATCATACGTCATTACATCATATGCACATTTACCAGAAGGATTTGGATAAGTGAGGTATTGTAGGAGATGAATTATATCAAATCCAGGCCTTGAAATCATAAGTCTGAGAGCATATTCGACTAGATCAGTAATGCAGTAGACCTTTTGACTAGGGGATGCTACGTGATCCATGTATTGTATTCGGTCATGTGGATTAAAACCAGCGATCATGAGTAGATTTAATCCAAAGTAGAATTCCCTCCGAAGGGCCAACACAGCTGGTGATGTTGTAAAATAGTCTTCAAAACCAAGAATTCCATGCCTTGGCTTGATTCGTCTAGCGTAACATGTAGCATTCATGTCCACGTTGCTCCGCGCACGGGATTGCAGTCGAGCTCCGCTCTCGTCCAACAAAATTCTGATAACAGACTTGCATCCAAAGTATACTGCCATGGCAAGCGGTGTCAAAAATAGTATTGTCTTTGATGAGTAAGCTGGAAAATTCGAAGCCTCTTTAGAGCTGATGTACTTATCAGGCTGATCCAGGACTTCAAAATATGCAGAAAGGATGAATGGATGAGAATTTGCAAAATTGATTAAGTGGTGAAGCCCATTGCGACGACGCATCTGATTAATCATCCATTTCGTGAGTTCGTGATCCTCCGGGTAGTATTTCGGTAAAGTAGGGTAAGTATTTGTTATTGAGGTGTCGCCACTTGCCTTAGAAGATCCAAGAAAATTTTGACTGCCAAAGTGAGCACTGTTTTCAACACTTGGGAAAATTTGTATTTCACTGTTCATTTCACTTGCTGAATGAGTCGAATCTAAAATCAGCTGGTAACTTACCACCTCGAGGTTATTATTGATTTTTGGTATTTTGAAAGTTATACTCGCAATTTTGCAAACTCAATTTAAGAAATTTCCATAAAGAATGGCTAAAATGGCAAAAATGTTAAATTTGTACTCGGGCACGTAAAGTTAGTAAAAGCAGGAATTCACTACTTCACCTAAATAAATTATGTAAGTTTAAATAGATAAACCATCCTCTTCTCTTTTTGACGTTAGTGCTTATCTAACACAAAAGCGTAGAAGTTTTTAAGCTAGATAACTGAAAATTACATTTAAAAATCTGGCAGAATCAATTTGTAAAATGGCAAACTATGTTAGAGTCCAAAATTTTATAATTACATTTGATCAGTATAAATTGACACAAAAACAAGTCAGAAGAACCTATGGAGTTCCTTAAACATATACCTTTCTGTAAACTCACATATGCACAATACGTTTTTTGCACAAATAGACAAACTTCAGTGGTTGACTCTGGAAAATGCTAACTTAGATGCAGATAGTTAATTTGTGTAGGTAACCACTAACGATAAGTGATGGAATTAGCAAAGTCCCTTACCATGTTGTCGATAAATGGTAGTGAAGGACCAACTTTACTGAAGTTGCTTATACCCATTGCACAAACGGCTTTCTGATCCTAAAGGGACAGTGACAATGTCGAAAAAAGGGAATGCATTGAAGAAACAACATTCCTGCATCCCAGTCAAAGTTTTATTGATAAATCCTTTTGCCTTGCTTATTTACCACAACTATGGTACTTATGCGCTTTTGATTTTTTAATTTTAGTCAGTTTGGAATAATTATGAAATTAATGCACTCGATAAAACCAAGATACACTCTTATTACGTGGTCATAGCCGAACTGATGATTTCCGCTAAGACTATATGAGTACCAAATAGACATTTTAAATTCTCGTGCTAATTTCATTTCAGTACATAAAATTAAGAGTCAATTTCACACAATTTCGTCGACTTTTTTCAAGAATATTTTCGTTCAATTTAAAGAGGAGATTCGCTTATTAAATAAGCTGTTTCAGTTGCATTTCACTGTTTGAAAGGAGCAATAAAGTTTAGGCTTTTTGGCCGAGGATTTTGATGAAAGTCTCATACACTCCTTAGTGAGCCCTCTTATTCATATGCTGCGAAAAACAATTTACACCAATCAGCAGTCTTCAAAAGGCATCGACTATCAACTGCACCATGCTTCTAAGTTACATTTTGGTCGGTCCCTAGTGGTATTAGTTTGAACAATGCCGCTGAAAAAATTCCATTAAAATTGAGACAAGAGTTGGAAGCAGACTCTAGTTCATCGGTATGTTTTATCACTTGGATTTGCAAATTTGTTGAATGGCTTGCGGAAGTACCATGCTGGTTCGGATGCTCACGTTTGTAGTGTTAGCTTGCGTAACCTCAACCCGGCTTGGTAACAGCCTGCAACAAGCAGCGACCAGAAACAAGACATGTCACATTGAATACGACCGTTTATTAGCGTTAAGCCAGCCTAACTTGTCTCTACATGTGGTTGAGCTTGTTCAGCAGTCGATTGATAACAGTAACCAATTCAAAATGCGGGTGGTTCATTGACACCAATCGGCCTGGAAGCAAGCTTCACTCACACGCGTTCGCTGACGGCCTTTTAGTCATCCGGGTATCCAGCTGTGTGCGCGTGTCCCGGACACAAACCGGAGTCATTTAATTATGCTGGCATGTTTACTATACCTAGGGGCCTATAAGGGTTTCGAAGACCGGAAGGGACGAAGACTGGCGTTAAGTGGGCATGAACTTGCAAATATTTGGCCTATATGTACCAACGCGCGAATATTCAAACGTTTCCGTGTCAAAATTAAGTATTCTAAGGGAGGGGGAGAGTGCAACAGACACGGTAATCATTGAATGCGGTTAATTACAGTGGCTTTCGGACCCGCATCGACAAAGACGATGAACGTTACTTAACGCAATTCACAAGAGACTGGATGGTAACTGGACCATTCACTGAATACCGCTAGTTTTTAACTAAATGGAATATGTCATCATTTAATTCTTTTCGGTTGACTGTCATACAGGAAAGATACATCTATGTTTCATGTTTGATACGGTCGTGGTAGCTAAAGAAATGGTTGATGCACCTCTGAATTTGTTTGATCGACAAAAAACGCTCCACTAGCACTCCCAGACATACTTCGTGTTTTAGATATAATTTTAATGAATTCTGTCCCAGGATAACATGACCACTTTCTTTAAAAAACGGCTCTAGCTATATTTTTTGCTTAATAAAGTTCTGTTTACAGGCACTTTTACTGAAGCTAGTTAGTAAAACTGGATCTGATGGATCATTTTTCGCCTCCTCTATACATCTGCTGATCTAGCGCCTTTGATGCATTGCCGCTTTGAATTATCACTTACACAGCAAGTGGAGTTGCTCTCAGACTTGTCATGTGGATGCTGTCACACCTATTTGGTGTAGTATAGCCAATATGTGGTACCTTTTATTAATCCTAAACACATCCTTCTCTGTAATGGCAATTCAAAATAATCGTAAATGGGTGTTTTTTGAGTGTTTTGAGTGTTAGTTGACTTTCCCGTATTTAATCAGATAAATAATGACAATCTGGACTAAACCAAGTACTGATTATATTATCAATTGAAGCAAATTTAAGGTGTTGTGGGCCCCAGCATGTGGTCTTGAACCACGTCGGGACCACGGAATTAACCCAGGCCCGATTACGCTTGCCTGGTGCCCGCGATGAAGAAAAAGACCGGAGAGGACGTGGACACAACCGTTTACTTTAGAGGTCAGCCACGTTGGTGTCGTTGTGTCGTGTGTGGGGTTTGCGCGTGTGTATTTATACCTCGGATGTGTGAGTCATACATACGGTAACATCGGACCTATGTGTGAGGATAATCAAGGATAAATATCCATTTGAATGAGGGAGGATTTGAGGGTCCGTGCAGCTGGCTACATGCTGCGAAAACGGGAACCTTGTGTTGGAGGTGGAGCGACCGGATTAAGGGATGTGAATAAACACGATTGACAACAAAGGTTTCGGTTTATATAGATATCTTTTTTCTCACATGATCACCTTGAGAATGTCGTAATATTTCTGAAACAGGAGTCTCTCAAGAAACCTATTTTCATTGATTCGAGGTTGGTAACAGTCCTATTCATACATTTTCTAATCTCCTAATATTGCCATAGTTTCCTCATCTCAGCCTTAACAAAATGATATTGTCAAAATTTATACATTATACAGATTGCTCTTATGGCTGCTTATCCACCATGTCAAGTCTGCATAAGTCAAATAAAAGCTGTTTATTCCATCAAGTAATCTAGCCATTGGATGAAACTAAAAAGCTCTCTGCACGAACTTTTGTTTATCCTGTTTTAGGAACATGGGGTGATGTTAAATGCCGGTTCTATGCCGCCCATGTTTTGGTTAAAAGCAAAATGCGACACAAAATGACGTAAATTACGAAATAGTAACGCATTTACTAGTCATGCAATTAAAAAACCGAAAAGAAAATATGAATAGATACGCTTTAAAATTCTAATATGAAAGTAAGTGCTTTTGGGGTACAATGTTTAGCTTTCGAATAGTAACTTTAAGCGCCTAATTTCAAAATATTTTTTTTTAAAAATGCCGTTATCTTAAAACTGTCTACGTGAAAAAGCTGCCAATATTAAATTCCGGCTTTTGTTAAGAAATTGTTTACAAATATTTAGTGATGACATGAACGATACATTGGTTGCGGAGAATGGCGCATACAGAGGTAGAGATGTGTGTAGTTGTTGTAAAAATGTTTCTGCACTGCATAAGCGTGACCAAGTCGTGAATTCACCTCGGACTCTTAATATTACCGTCTGGATACATCCCGAAGCTTAAGGAAAATAGATAAAAAGATATCATACTTGTTTGGTTTTAAACAACCATTATCAAATACTTGACTTGAACTAGTTTTAAGGACGCTGACATCTTTGCATAGATAAAAAATTAAGAGACAAAAATTTGTTGCAACGAAAAATCTGATTTCAATATACATTTTCATCTAGAGACTTATGCATAGTTATCCCCTAATATCTGATTAACAATTAAGATTGACCCTAACCTGTCAGGCCTCAACTTCTAAAATCAAACTTATGTCACCACAGTGCAACAAAACAATGGGTCACTCTTTAAGAATTCAACCACTTCCAGATGAAGCAAACATCTCATTTTTGGAAAACAATTAACCTTCCTGGCATAAATATATCTACGTAAATGAATGCAAATTAATGTTGGTTTTGATCGCAAATTGAGCAATTAACGGCTCTGGAAGTGAAGAAATAAAAAAAACATTCACACATAACATAGAGCGACGTATTTAAACTTTACATAGATGTATAATAGTATATTATGTAACCTGTGCTCTTAAGTCAGTCTATGCCAGTGTGGCATGTTCCTTGTCTTCCTTTAACTTTTCACCTTCCCACCATTCTCAAGGCGCGTCTATGAGCCTGAAGACAACTCCGACCATTTCCACGACAAGGCACTTCCTATCCCCACTCTAACTATTTCATTAAGCTCGATCTCCTCTGCGATTGTGTACAGAAGTCTAGAGGACAGCATGTTTCTTTTACTCTTCTTTTACTGCATTTCTGTTAGTCAACCCTGGTTTTGTGGCTATCTCAAGGGGACGAAAAATGAGTTACCTAAAATGTAAATCCTCTATCGGTAGGCATGTTACATACACCAAAGCTTATAGTAGACCCAAAAACAGGCAATCCTACTGCATTTATTATTACAGTGAAAAAAAGGTGTAAAAAAATTACAGATTAGAAAAAAGACAGTTTTATCAAATAAATATATAATTAAAAGGCGAATCTTCGGTTTTCACTTTGAGCAAACTAATTGCAGAGTTCTAGTCTGTGGAGTAATTCTAGTTGATGGTATTCAAACTTTATATTCTAGTCCATCATAATGATCAAAATCGGTCCAATAATATACATTTTTCCTAATTTAATAGCGTGAATTATTTTGACACACTGCTGCCTACCTATTTTCGCTACATTTAACGTTCAACTTACCCAAGAAAATGGGCTGAAAAATGGCTTTTATTGCAATATGACAGTCAAGAATTTCACAAGTGTTATGGCACCCTAAATTTTCACTCTCTTCGATTTGGCTTCTGCAATGCTGTACAGCTATTTAATTAACTCAATATTTATGATAGATCAAATCATATGCACATTATTAAAAATTTTGGAATCTTACCACACTGAAAAGTGGTTCAACCAAACAAGCTTATTCGATAAACCAAGCCGTAAGAGAACCCAACTGATCCATTCTCTCTACATGCTACAACAATCCCATAAAATGTGATTCTTATTGATCCATGTCTTAAAGATGGCGCTTATCTTTCATTTAGGCCATAAAGCTACATAGTAGAGGATTAATTTGGCATTCACTATGCCAAACCATAGATGTAACATTTACCGAACTAATTGCCTCACCTTTGAGAGAGAAACTGATCTCAGATTTTGGCGTAGTTTCTTGCACTAATACAACAAAATCCGATGGTAAAATACCCGGTTTTAACATTTTGCTTGATACACCACACCTCTCGGGAGAGTGCTCCGAGCGCCTTAATAACATGAATCTATTGCTTTTGTAGACATCAAGGAAGGCTGCGATATCCGCCACTGACACCATATCCACTAGCAGTCCTTGTCATCTTCAGCGAGTTGTCGATGACACTTCAGATGCAGTGGTCGTAATCAATCGATTCAAAGGTATAAGACATTGTATGGAATTTCACGGAAACCTGCAACTATCATTCAGGCGTCTTAATGGGGTAGTAGATTCACAGTATTATTTGTTATCTTTTGGCTCTGGGATTAAAATCTCATCACCCAAACACATTCCCTTCCACTAGAGTAGATTAGAAGAACCATACCCCGGAGAAGATCGAAACATCAGAGGAGGAGACGAGCAAAAAACATGAAGTGCTCATTAATAGTCGTTTACCCGAGTCCACAACATATAAAAATTTTTACATATACCTACTATTGTTTAACTTCTTATCTTCAACTTAGGCCATTTAGACTCACAAGTAGAGAACACTGGCCCAGGTCAGCCCAATCCAATGTCTGCGGTGGTAGACGGAACAATAGTCCTGAGAAGTGTTGTTGAATACCAAAGCGATATTTTAAAGAAGACTCCTACTACAGAATAAGCTTTATTAATTAATCAAAAGTAGGAGAAGCGCATCAGGCACCATCAAACCAAGCCCACAATGCAGGCTGCGTCGTTGATTTTAGAGTTCTATCCATCCTTGTCTCTGGTTGGCTGCTTACCAACGTGGGCCTTTCAAAAGCCCGAAGACACAATTGGCAGAGCTCGGCTTGGTGCAAGGTGTCTGCGATCCAGTACAGCTTTGCTCTGTGATTGTCCCAGAGCCAATGTCGTATTTAACGTTTCATTATGAATTGGTCTTGTGTTGCTTCTTATTGTTATCATTATTGTGTTACACAGTTTCCCACATGTTCTTTTTTCACCTACTAGTCATTATTTATCCACGTTTGTACAGAAAGCTAAGTATGAATAATTTTCTACTTAGGTATATGCAGTAATTCCTTCCTAGTTGATACATACAAACAAGCTCAGGCTTCTGTCAATTTTACTTCTTGCGATTTTGTGGTTGAAATATTTACGTTTCACCATAACACGTTGTGGAATCATTATTTGTGTGCTGCGATACATTCGCTCTGGCTACTAACTCCGTACTATATTATACTTGAATAGAAATATGTGCACGGCTATTCGATATTCTTAGTAATGCAGTTAAATTCGGCATTTATTTTAAACTATTCGTCCACTGTAATTCTCAAAAATATAGTTTTGTTCAATAAAATTTAACCTCGGTTTCGAACACCGGTCTCCTATCTTTTTATGTGGGCCAAACGATCGACTGCGCTTCGACATCGATTCTCGATCCAAACATTGTGCAGTATCTAAACCGAGGATAAGTTTGGTGGAGTAAACGCCCTCGATATTGTCCAACTGAGGTAGCAATTCACACGCATTTGGCAGTTGTGTGTCAACTGCTGGACGGTCATAATTGGCATTGCTGATGTAGCTCACCTCAGCAACATGAAGTGGTCGACAGAAATTTTCTAAAGACTGCTGCTGTTTTTGGTCGGTATAAAAAATGATGTCCCATCCTTACTTTCTGCAATTTTCATTACTACATTCCTTCCTTTAAGAAAACCATGACGTTTCCTACTCGATTTGAAAACTGCCGCAGCATCCAAGCTTTTACTGTACCCTACCACCAAATTTGTCTGAAGCGGATATAAATCGAATTCTCTTCGGGGGCTAATCTGTAGATTTGATAATTGGTACTTGATTCACCACATATTTGCATATACCCAGCTGGTCTTCTTTTTCATAAGTGCTTCAAAAATACGTCCACACAAGGCCATCTGCTTGGTGGGCGAATACGCGTTTAAGTTCACATTGTTATTTTCCCGGTTTCTTTTACTTATAATGTCTATGGATGATAATGAAATTCGAGAGATTCAAGGCTTTATTCCAGTTAAATTAATATTCTCTTTTAGAGGTTGTACTCTTCATTTACCCACTCAATTTGCATCGTTCAGTTTTGGATGTCCATAAGTTATGCGTGTAGTGGTTCTACCCCACTTCACTATATTCATTGTTTTTTTAACCATTATAATAAATTTCTCAGTCAAACGCAAAGAACATTGGTCATTAAATACACATGTATCGCACCTTCGGTTGCTCACGTCACAATTTTCCACTTTTAGCAAGTATCTAAAACGATAGTAACTTGCAAGTTCGTAACTGCAAGGCAGTTTTGAGTCCCAGTTGTCTTTTTAGTAATGCTGTGCCGGTCGCATAAATTACTTTCGCCTGCAAACTATGTTTTTCAATGCCTCAATTCAAAATTTGCAACGAAGTCTTCCTCATCAAATCTGTCGAAATTACGTAAGGTGACTGGTCATCCATTTGGATTCTGTCGAGAAGCTTTAGCTGCCTGCGATGGGGATTATGAACGTGCTCTGGGTTGGCTACAGGAAGAAGCAACAAAGCGCGGCATGGCCAAAGCAGAGAAACTCAAGAGTCGTCCAATGTCGCAGGGCCTAATCGGCATGATTTCAACATCGAGGTGTGTTGCTGCTGTGGAAGTGAATTGTGAGACAGACTTTGTCGCTAGAAACCAGGAGTTCCAATCTCTTGTTGCATCGACCACGGAGTCACTATTCAAAAACCTGTTGTCCGTAAGTCCCGGACATTCGTATTTATTTCATCGAATGAAGTAGACTGCTATTTCCGAGGCTGTATATAATTTATGCTTTTCACGCGTTGACTTGGAAGGTGAAATTGTGTTCAAATATCGCTTCACCTCCCTTTTAGGCGACACGCGAATCAGGTACTTATCGTCTTTCTGAAGAAGTTCTCAAGACAATTCCTTACGCTTCATCTCCGAAGTCCATATCTGAAGCGCTCGCAGAAGCTGTTGCGTCACTAGGAGAGAACATGGCGATTCCTCAAGGTGTTGGAATGACTCTTTCCGCTGACAAAGCAAATGAGAAAAGCCGCCTGATGGCTTATTGCCACATGAGCACTGCCGGAGTAAAAAAGGGTGTCCGTGACGTCCAGTTCGGAAAGTATGTCGCTATCGTGCGATATCGTCACATCAATAACTTGGTTAGTTGAAATTACCACGTATGTTACAGCTCACACTCGCACGCATTATCGTTGTCGTTTTTTTATGCAAGAGGGCTTTGTAATCTGGCTATATAAATTAAGGACCGATAAAAGTACTTAATGTCATCTTCTTTCTATGTTGAATGTGAGGTTTTAATAATTGTCAACTATAGCTCCGACTTTTCATTACGAAATCTCATGTTTAAATTCAGAACGCTTTGTTTTGCAATGTGTGCCACGGAATCATTCCTTTCTTATGCGCTCTTTCCTCCATCTTTTTGCTCCTTTTAAAGTTTAGCTAATAATTATATTATTTCTATATTTTTTTAAGAAAGGAACCTTAGCGTGGCAAGAACAGGCGTCTCGTGTCAGCCACCAGCTCTGCCAGCACATTGTCGGAATGAACCCACGACCTGGTGTGTCGTTTGACGACACTCCACCAGCCAAAAACCCAGACGAGGAGAGGTGTCTCTTGCGCCAACCATTTCTGCTTGATGAGTCCCTCAGCGTTGCTGCACTTTTAGAACAAAACGAGATACTTTTAGAGGACTTTGTCCGCGTTGAGTGTGGCCTCGAAAACGATTGAAGCTTCATCGTATATTCAGCTATGCTGGCAAATAATTAGGTTTGAATTTTGAATTTATAGCTGCAATAATGAAGGCCAGTCTTCTTATTTTCAACTTGGGAAATGGTTTTGCTTCATCACAAAGTTTTACCTTAAGTTAGATGTTTTTCACATGTTGTGGTAAATAAACCTGAGTATTTACTTCAGGACCTGAAATTTTTTTATTTGCCATGTGAGACTAAAGGCTTTTATTTTGACGATCATGCCAAGTGCCACAGATTGTATAAGGGCGCAGGCGGTGCACTTATGTAAGTTGGATTTACCTCATAACGGGTTCCGTCGCATTACGTCGCTTAACTAGTGTGAGGATGTAATATCATAGAAATTCGAAGAAACGACCTTAGCTCGAAGCACCAAATTTTAATCATTATAATTGGACTTGTACCTTTTCCCAAAAGATTCTAGGTATGTATTCCACCATAAAGATTCATTTTAACCTGGTGAAATCTGTTCCTACTCTTCAATTTAAAACGAAGAAAGCCCCGGTGTTAGGCCTATCATCGATAACCTAAGAGACATCCCCATAAAACGGATACGGCTAAATCCCAGAGAAGCGCAAGCCACCACCTTCAAAGATCAGAGATCGGATTTCAAAGGGATCAAGTTTCTTTGTTAGGGCTTGAAGATCTGAAATACCCTGGATCATTATAAAGTTCTGCAATTTTGCAAAGTGTTAATGTTGTATGCTGTAGCGAGTGGACAACGGAAAATCGTGTTTTATGTAGTCTCAATACAAGGCGCAAACTTTCCACACATTAAAAGTGGGTGAAGAGTGTGATAAAAGGATTGGCCCTCCTTTTCGGAGGTAACGTTGCTCCTTTTTCTCAAGAGCTTCTCAGTTGGTGGCTGAATTGATATTGGCCATACAATGGGTAGAAACGCAGAGTTTAGCCATCGGAGAACACTGGGGCACCACATAATTTCAACAGAGATGCTAACCTTACATTTACAACTCCCTAGTGTGCCTGAGATAAATCTGTCTCCAGTAGATACGCTCAAAGGTATTTCTTAAAAATGGATAACAAGATGAACGGCACGCTAGGATTTCTAATAAAAAAGAACGCTCGTGCAAAATACTACCGCCCGTTTAACTGTTTGGTTGCGAAAGATGACCCTACCTTTTTAAGATCAACATTTTATTCAGACCAAAAACATCACAATTTAAGCCTCTGATATCTAAAAAAACTAGCCAAACCGGCAAAAATATCTTACTGAAATAATTCTAAGGTTGACCAACATATGTGATCTTATGTAAAAAAGTCGTCAAGCTCTATATATATAACAGAACTCGAGGTTGCTCATGCAAATATTTATAAGTGGCTTTTCGATGACACAGATTGTTATTGGTGCATCTTTTGATGCACAAAAAGCATGAAAAAAGTTGAAACAGTTAAATGCATCGATATTGTTTATTTGTACCAGCGGGAGCCTACGAGGGCTTTACACGATTTCGAATTTGCCGTCATGTCGAAAATGGGAAGCAGGAGTTGGGGTGTTGAATTATGGGTAAATTTGCATATTTTGTTTGTATTTTGTCGGACTTTTGTATTTTCTGCATTGGAAATATTATTTAAAAACCTTCTCGGTGTCGAAACGCTCTTTGCGTAAACCGCCACTCATATCTTGGTCTGTTGAATAACACCACGCCTATCTGCCATAAATTGAAGTTAATTGTCCACTCGTATTTTTACCCAGATGTATCCAAGTGTTTGTTTTGTACACTTGTGCTTATACGTGTTTTTACTTGCATAAAATGCCACACCAACCTTGCTTCCATCATTAACGTTTGTACATGTCGATGTCGCCTGCATTTATGATATCCCGTTAAATTAGGCTCTTTTCTCTTGTATGCAATGCGTTTGATTTGTAATGGATGGATTTTACCCGATTTTTACGCCCTAGCACTCTCTATGTGATCGGTTGCATGCAAGTGCTTTGTGTGCGGTGAATTGTTGCAGGTTGTTTTATGGCTAATCATCCTTTTAGGACCAAATGGATTACCTCTTGCAGCACGAAAATGACCAGTTTTCTATATATGATCACCACGTTCGGCTTCTTTGTGAACTGCAGAAGTTATTTGTTGATTTCGGAAAAAAGTATCGAAAGACGGTAGCGAATTATATCCCTAAAAAGAAAAGTGTCAGTACATTTGACACAAAACTGACCTATAAATCCGTTCTTGCTGATTCTGTGACCTCATTCCTCGATTTTGGAACGTCTTTCGAAAATTATGGCGCAGAATTGCTGAAGTCTGTTATTACGCCCCTGAAGTCAGAATATGATCGTGAGCGGAAAGTGGCTGACAAAGTCATCGCTGACTACGCAAGGCACAGCAACCATCGAGAAAGGGAAAAGAAACGACTGGAAGATACGTGGAGGGCTCACGTTAATGCATTAAAGGAAAAACAAAAAGCTGAGACTGTTAGCACACTTGCTCAGAGTGATCCTAATATTTCCCAGGAAGAACGGCTAAAGGTTGGTCGTGAAATTGTAAAATACATGCTTCGACTTGTTCATTACGAATGGAAAGTTTTATTCTGAATGCGCTGACGATGCTAATGCAATCGTGGCTTCCTATTTAAGCGCCGCTTGCAAACCCAGAAGCCAATAAATTATTTTTTTCCACGAAAGTGTGCAGATGATGTCAGTACATGGTAATTTGTACTTTTTGTTTGTTCCTTGGTCCAACAGAGCCAGTAACGGGCACCGTTTTTGTTTTGTTTATGTGTATTTTGGAAAGAGCAACAGATTCGTTATATCAAAAAGATTTATTAGACTAATGCACTTTTTTCACAAAATTACTACCCTCGAGAAATAACATTTTGATTTTGTGCTCAATGTCTTTTTATTTCCAATTGTTTTTCTTTTTGTTGGCAACTGAATCTATTTGTCCTAGAAATAAATACATGGCTGCTGCTTTACCACTGCAAAATATTTAATTCATTATAGTATCTAAATTTATGGACTTTTATCTGAGGTAGTTAGAAATTGTGTAGGCTTTTCTTTTTCCTGTTATTTGTGCAGCGTAGAGTTTTGTGTAACACATTGTCTTACTTTTCTAAGTTGTATGGACATTTTGTCCAAGTGCTTTAATTCTTAATTTATGGTAGCTAGGTCCTGTTTGTGGAGTTTTCCCTTTTAAATGGTTTATGAGCATTTCCTTGCTTACGAAAAATGTCTTTAGGCTGACTTGTTTCAAGTGATTTTTTATCCTGACTGTATCATCAGTTTGGAATAGCTGGTTTTAGCACTAACTTGCAACCCTCTAGTTAACGGTCCGTAACAACCCGTAAATGAAGAGAGGCGACAGAGGACACGCTACTAGTTCTTTAGCGAAACTATTTGAATGATTTTCATTTATCATCATTAATAACTTAGTCACATATGTATGGAATTGACAGAAATGATGAGTTAACATTCGGCAATTTTTCAATGCTTCTGTCCGCAGTGGAAAGTCATTTCGGTAATTAAACCACCTTGGCAAATATATGAACTTGACGTCATAACACACACCACTTTACTGTCAATTGGGTTCTATTTTCTGGATAAACACATGAGGTCAAGTGCGCTATAGTCCGTTATGTGGATAAATAGTCACCCTAAAAAATCTTAAACAGCAACCAAAAGTAATGATGAAAATAATAATACTGGTAAATAAAATGCGAATAACGACAATTTAGCTCGTTGTTTTTAATTTTTTTGGCATGAGACACCACTCACTGAGTGATCGAAATTAAATTTACCGCCCAGCGAGTGATCAGTTGGGTCTAGGGTTAATGATGAATGTAAAAATGGATATGGAGTAATAGCAGACTAGATAGTGCAACGACTTTTTCAAGGTGTTATCACTTAAGATAGTATTAGGTTGGATGAATTCTCCCCATTTCAAGTCTACCAAATGCTCGTTTTCCTCAATTAGTATTTAGTTCTAAATTTTCTTCATTTTTCCCTTGGAAACGTCATCATTTTATGAATTAAAAAGTGAGCTTTCCCCAAACTACGCATATTTTAATCAAGAGTTGTTTGAAGACATGGTTAAAGAATTTAGCTGAAATTTATTGTGGCCATCCTGAACAATAATCAGTACGATCTGATAGTCAAAATCGAGGTTTTGTGTTAATCACTACTATTATTTCAACCACCATGATGCCGGAATCAACTCATCAGGGCGATACGTAGCTTAAAAGGGAATTAACTGGCCTGTGATTCGTTAGTTGACAATTACCACCATAGTTAATTGGCGCCAATCCTTAACAATTAAATCGAAGTTTTCAGTTTTTTGTGGATATTCGGATTGTCATTGTAACAGCCTGTACTTGTATAAGGCCTAGTTGCCCTATGTGAAACCTGAAGCCTCTTTACTTCATAGTTAACTCGACGGAGTTGGCGTGTGTTTGTGTTTTCCCACGATTTTGCTGCACGTTTAACAAATCAACTTGCCCCATGAAACCGATTTTAACATCTATTTAGCCAACAGTGTAGTGGGAATTACCAAATGCTATCTTCTCGTGGTGAATGGTTCACCCACTAACTTAAAAGCACAATGGAAATTGTGGTAATGTGATAATGCATTATCTGTTACAGATCAAAAATTGGCGCAACCCATTATTGTAGGTAACCTAAGTTGGTATTCTCGCATGCTCTCAACACAAAGATAAACATTGATTTTTTTTTCTGTGGAAAGGCACAAAGTAATCTCTCGATCAAGAACGACGCCTTCGTTGCCACCCAGCAGACGTACGCAGCGGAGATGCGAGAGTTCAACGATAATCAACGACATTACTTTACGCATAGCCTTTGCACCCTAATCGCAGAACTGGAGATGCTAGACCGGCAGCGCTCAAAGATGACTCAGGAACTGTTGTTGAAGTGCTCAGATCTCAGTGAAAGTCTTTCCAAGCAACTATCTGACTCGGCTCAGTCTCTACGGAATACCGTTTCTCGTATCGATCCTGAGGCGGTATGTTTTAATCGACGCCTTTTTCACCAAGGTGGATATTGTTCTCCTCCTCCTCCTCCTCCTCTTCCCCCTCTCATCTTCATAGTTTTTTGCTCCATTTAAATGCACAAAAGTCGTAATTAGATAATATGATACGTCTGTGTCATTACGACATAAGCTGAAGATGTGGCGCTGCTAGCGACTTATCATGACAGATAAAACGTAACTCGACTAGATTATGGCACAAAACATCAACAACCTTATTTTACATTTTATAAACCCTTCTTATTTGCTGAAAGACCATGCGTTCTATATTTGACCTCCAAAACAGGAAAATTTATCAACGAGCCTATGTGGTTGGCAACTTTCTGCTTTCCATAACTCACTCTGAATCTTCAATTGTTAATATTTTTGAGATCCTTTAAGCAGGAAACCTTACTGCAAGCAAGTCAATCTGAATGTCAAAACAGGGAATTGAATAGTTGCTAAGTGCTTCACAATGCTCATTTGAACGTGTCGTTTTGCCTAGTTTCCTCTTTTTACCTCATTATGTTTAAATAGGACAGTAATATCTGCCTCGTAAGTGTCATGATTACCAGTAAACGCCATTATTGCTTGTGTCGTCATGTCACGCGCAGAAGGTTTAGACGGTTTTACCCTCATTTTCTAACTTGAAAACTTTCGAACACTCTATCATTCGACTTACTGTGTTTGGTCTTGCATGAGGTCACACGGGACTTTGTATGTCTTAGACTCTCACATTAATGCATTCTCGAGTTTTTCGTCTTCTGTTCTCTTTACCCATTAATCAATAGCAATAATGAATCTTCGTTGGGGATCATGTTGCTGTGTCTTCTTAACGTTTCAGCCTTATCTATAACTTTTCCCAGCCAAAAAACTGGTTCTACCTTTGTAATTTCCCACGAACGTTTCCTCTGAAGCATAGTCCATCTTATGATAAGTAAGCTATTTTTTTGTATGTGTTGCTGTCTTGCATGGTTGTGAAATTTAACAAAAAATCAGTCTCCAGCGCCACGATATTGTTCTTCCTTTAATGTGTCCGTACTCGCTCAAGCTTAAAATCTAGATAACAGGGATTTCTCCAACCGTTGTTCATTAAAATACGTGTAAGTAATCACAAAAAATCACCACTTAGTAATCCCTCCAGTGACTACATTTGTAGGAAATGCTTTTAGTATGTACAACGTTCTAATCGATCGTTTTGGGCAGTTTTTCATAATTAGGTTGTTGAACACGTTTATGCGTTCAAAACCATGGTAATATCATGCATGACATAGACTTGGATTTTTTTTCTCGTTGAATTTCACAATGTCAAAATACATGGCTGTTTTGTTCTCTTAGTGGTTGGATTTTCGAGAGTGCACCCCGAAGTGACATGATTTACGCATTTTCGCAGCTTTCGATTCTATTCCTGGGAGTTATTTACATCCGGGTACGAAATTCCTCCTAGGTAATCTCCAAGTTTGATTTGAACCACACTTGCTTAACTTTAGCAATAGTTGCAAGTCGATAGCCTGTTTCATTACTGCTGGGTTTGCACGTAGTGGTTGTAAACTAACGCCGATGTTGGGTAGGAGCTCTTTAGTTCCATTAATTTGTACTGCTGGTTAGACGGTGCAGCCGCGCTGGAAATATATTATGCACCTATTGAAGCAAACCTACAGCCCTGGATTGTGGTTCCTCGACATTTAATATAGCTCTCTCTGTGGCACGGTTGCTGCTTTTTAGCAGTCGTGATTCTCGGTGTTTGTGACGGATTTGTTGACTGCGTGGGGCAGAGATTAAGGTAGGAAGTTTTCGGTCCTAACTTTCTCAGAAGCTGAATATCAGCATCTATGGAATGATTACCGAACGTTGCTCGAAGCTTTGTGTCTGGGACACCTCTTGCATTCCCGATGTCTTTCTAGTCGGTTTGCCTTGCTATTTCATGTTCGAGTTCTTTTGTAAGTAGATTAACCTGTTATGCATTGATTTCATAAAGCTTGATGTATCTAGAATACTATTGCTTTTTATTATTGCCTTTCATAAGGATTATTTGTTTTCACCGAAGCGACCCCAATTAAATTAACATTGAAGAATACGCGTAGAAATTTGAGCTGCTAAGTACGTTCAATCTTCTTTACTTCGAAATAACATTTTGTATCTAGTGCTTGTTTGGTTTGGCCAAACGCGGTTGTGTTTTGTCCACTTTCAAGGCTTTTTAATTAATGGAGATTGTTCATTGGGTTTAAATTCCATTCAATTGCATCTACATTTTGTCCTGTTGGTTTATCATATTCGTGTGAAGAGTACAGGATTGTTCGGAGTACGGTCATTACATCTAATTTTCTTGTTAATGTAGGACGCATAATATTTTGAACTGGCTGTTTCGTCAAACCACCTGGCGATTGCCCGTGTGAGGTCTTTGTCTGGCGTTGCAATCATCGTCAAGTTGGCTTTTCAAGTTGGATATTTAGTTGATCGGTCAAATATCAGAAAAATGCGAAAGCACCGTCTAGCCAGTTCATTGGTATTGAAAAAATGATCTCTTAAAATGGTGATGTGTGGTGAATGAATTCACCCTTGTCGATGGTCGACTTTACAGTAATGTTGCCTTTTACTTTAAGGAAGTGGTAATTTCGTCGATGCTTGGCAGCTAGGGACGCAGCAAATGCTATAGCAGTATGGCTTTATCTGTTCGTGAATGCTATCAAGTGGCTGTGAATTGGTTCCCACAATCATTATAAACGCTTCGGAACGAAAATGTTGTATTTATTATGCACCCCTAAGTCAATATGACTCGCTCGCCCGTTCAAAACTTCGATCATTCATTCGACAATGCGGTCATCTTAGATTTGTGTGTGCTATATAAGCACAAACACCGAAAATGCGTTTTTATTGGTGTCCTATTCAATTTGTAATCCTCCAACTCGATAACACCCGTGGCTATTTTTGCTTTAATTGACAACATCTGCCGACGTTTCTCCTGGTTTGCCTGATTGTTACCTAACCACTTTTATCTGTGTTTCGTGGTGGTGAGAGTACATTTCTGTTCGCCTCAAAATTATCATCTCTGAATCAGTGAACCGAAGGCCTGAGGTCTGTTCATGTTCGGCTAATGATCCTGATGTTTCAAGTCGAAATTTCAATTGTCTTAGTGCATTAAATGCTTTTTGTCAATCATTATTATGCGACTTCTTATAATGGCCTAGAAGCAAGACTCTTTGACATTTTGCTTTCTAGTTAGTTAATGTCATTTTATTCTGAGATCTGACGTTGACTAAAACTGCTTCTATAATCACCCAATTAGCTATAATCTAATAACCGTTGTGAATTCATTTCAGGTGTAAAATACAAGCGCTTATATTCTTTTTAGCATTTTGCCATCACTACGAAGTTATGCTTGTGTAGTGATAATTGTGACTTCACAATATGCCAGTACCAAGTCTTGGTAACTGATACCTACCTCAACTCGCGTTGTTCTGAGCCGCTTAGTGCACATCAACTCGATTAATTTGCGGATTTCGCTCTTCACGACCATGAAAACGACATTCCTTAATGTGTAACATTCGCAATGCATCTAAACATTTTGCTGTGTCAAACCTTTCGTCGGTGCAACTATAGTAGATTCAGTCTGCGTGCCAGTTTGACAGCCACTGTAGCCCACTGTTGTCCTCATTTTATCTCCTCTGTGGTTTCACAAGCCACACGAATGTCTCCATGCGAGTTCAGTAGTCAAGTACTGTCACTTGTAGTACTGTTGACGTTAAGTCGCTTGATTGTTTGTTGTAAAAGCTGATCGTACAGGGACACTGATCGGCAGCTTAAAGTAGGCCTGGTGGCGAAGCTTAAGCTCTTTATCGGACACGCGATTCAGTTGAGTTTGTGAATTTCGTATCACGTTCTTGCGAGGCCAAAGCTGTGATTCACTTCAACATTGCACGTTCCCACTAACAATTTCTTGGTAGTCGTTGAGTTATGAGTGCTGTCTTTATTACAGTTCTCGATATCCATCTGATTTTTTTTTAAGTTGCCGGTGCTCCTTTCTCTAAGTTGATTCCATCCACATATTGTTTCTGTTGTCCGCTCACTTCTACTTTCAGGTGATCATGGAGCACCTCATTTGTCATGTTTTATTAGCTTTTTTTTAAATTTTGGTGTCGCTGGAAGGCTCCGGTGGCACAGCTCTTCGTTCATCGAATTTATTTGATTGTCTTTATGTTATTTTTTGACTGATTTGTCGGTATTGTATGGACAAAATTCAATGCTAATGCCAATCTCTTCGTCTGGTAGCTGAAGGGTTTTTGTCCGATAAGAAATTAAGAAAAAACATTTTTATGGATCACGATAGCTAGACTGCACATCTCACGTCATAATTGATAACACAAACCTGCATGCCTTAAAATCCTGATAATATTGAAGGGTCATTAGCTAAAAATATAACCCACACTTTGTGATATGACTTTAAAGCCCTTTGGAAATTACTTTTTCTGCTTGAGAAAGTCACTGGTGTTAAGGCCCTTTATTAATTTCAGGAATTTTAGTATGCAAACCTTTTTTGTTTAATCTTAACAAACTGGAAATGTTTTATGCAACAGCAATTTTCATTTGTGGGGTGAATCAGGGACAAACGTTGATTAACAAGTCTGAATTAAACTTCAGCGTTTTGCGCTTTTATTTTACTTATGAATATCGGATGCTTGTTGGCTACTGTCGCATTCATAATTCCTTCTCTGCCACGGAATAGCAAATTATACATAGTGAAAGTTCTAACAAATGACACTGACGTTACTCTATTCGGTGGTGTTTTTTTTCGTTTCTGTGAAAGAAACTTAACTTTGTTTGGGAATCGTGAAAGAAGGTAACCCAACTTGGTAGTCAGGCTATCGCCTTGTCGTCAATCGCAACAGTCAACTTTAAGCTTATACCATCGCTCCATTTCCTTTAATGACCTTTTGTTTGTCATGTAGGATTGCAGGGCGGTGTTGGAGGCCAGGAAAACCGACTACCACTTCCCCGTCGATCTGCCGTTTTTGAACCTCGCGCAGTGCACTCAAGCTACCCTTGAAAACCAGTCAGCGCTTGTCAACCTCATGTTGGGCACTTCCAATGGATTTGCTGCGAAGGGGAATGCTGAAAAGGTCTCTAAGGGTATCCACAACCTTTTTGGAAAATCCAAGACCCAGACCTCCGATGGCAATGTGCTGCAGACACCATTCATCGCCGGAATCGGCTATAAGCCTGTCAAGGTAGCGCTAACAAGCTAAGCTTTTTCTCGTTGATTGACTGGGCCGCTTTTCCAGCTCCCCATTTTCACTGAATCCACCTCAAGTCATGACTTCACTTCATGAAGGGTGGTCATGTTTCAGGAAGGTACCTCAGCATGTGTGCGTGTGTGAGCGTAGTTATTTCATGACTTCGAATCTAGTCATCAACCGCTACTCCCTTTATTGATGAACTTCATATCGCGTTAATTTAAATAAGAGTTGTCTGTTTGAGGCTACTAAGCACCTCAGAAATATTTGCGTGCACATTCTTACACTGCTTTAGAAGAATTGATGCTAGTGGTAATTGTATGAATTCGTTTAATGCACGTAATGGCAAATCTTGCTCTTTGCTAAACCCGGGATTCACCGTTGACATGCTTGTTCGCCTCCTCAGGCTGGATTGCTTCAGTGTTGCTAATTTCAGTTGAATAGACCTGTTACCAGTCTTCCTGCAAGTCCTTAGCTTGTCTGCACTTCAACCAGCACCCCTAATCGTAAACAAAAAACAATCAATAGATTGTCGTCTCTGATTGTGCTATGCAGAAACAACTATCATAAACAGCCTCCACTTCGGTACCTCGTGTCGCCTGTTTGTCAAACCTCTGTATTAGCTCTGTAGACATTCTGAACTTTGATAATTGGTTTCCAAGCCTTTCAGTCTTGCATTAACCTTTTCACGGATAATTAACTATGAAAATATATCTATTTAAGTGCGTCATATTAAATCACAACCTCTAACCAGTATCGCGATTTTCATTGCGTATCTGAGGTTGGAAAAAATCCCTTCAGTGTAATGTTTAATGCTCATACCCGCGAGGAGTTTGTTTCAAATGCTCTAACTGAAATCTCCTGTCTAGTTTGGGACGCACGTGAACCGTCCTAGCTTTAGCCAGTTTGAATCGTTTGCGTAAATCGTGTATTAAATAAATTGAGCAAAGTCCAGCTATTCGCCTCTCTTTGGTCGTGCACTTTGGCCTTCGAGTGTTCAAATCAAGCAAAATTGCAAGCCGCAATCTTCGTTACGTACATTGAACCATGGTGATTTGTGTCTAGCATTTTTTCGTGGCAAGACATGGAAATGTGTATATCGCGACTCTGCTCGGGTTACTAGCATTTGGATACACATGGGAAGAACAAATTGTAAGATTGACTTGCCGCAATGCCAGTATTGGCTGTCACGTTCAAACATCCTGCACAACAAGAGCGCAACTAGGCTGCCCGATTTCTTTGACGCTCATGCTGCTTTAATGCATGTGAATGGTTTGTGGGATTTTCACTTTTTGGTATTTTAATTTAACTGATTATTTGTGGTGTAAATACCGCTATTTTGATCACGTTCATGTAACCTTAAAATGCAATTCGCTTTATTGCTTTATGATTCGGCTTATTATCTCTAAAACGAATGTTTTCCTGATTGCGTCTTTATTGCATCTCTACAGTCATTCATTGAGCGTTTGTGTTTTGTCACCATCAGTAATTTGCACGTCACATGTAATAAACCCCCTCGGCACCGATGTGGTTGCTGCGTTTATTATAGTCATAATACCAATTCGTTGTGTCATAGATTCCCTCTAATCACCATAGCAGAGTTGATGGGAATCTGTTGCGCCTGCATTATCTGATGTAAAATCCTCGACTGTGGGTCAGTGTGGTTGCGTCGCCTAGAACAGCATGAGCGCAGGCTACTTTTTTACAGTCATCCAACGTGCTTTTTTGTTGTTAATGGGTGGTGACTTTTTAACCGAAGCAAGTGCTCACCCGCTTACCGCAATTTAACGCTGCCTACTTGGCGCATCAGTCTCCACAATTGGCCTTTTTCCATCGTGTGTCAACGTGCTATTAAACCTGACCGGCTGCAGTACTTGCACCCTCTGTTGCCCACCAGTGTGCTCCGGCAACAGTCAAGCTATTCCGAAGAGCTATTTAAGCCAAGCATTCAAATTCTAACCTGCTTTGCGAAATCGCGTGTCCTTGTGATGAGAAGAGGCTCCCAAGTGTTCATTGACAAGAGATTCAAACCCTTCTCCGACCATCGTGGGAGAACCGTGTTTCTTATCGTGGCGCAGAATTTTTAAAAATGTTAAACAACAATGTGATTGCACTGTGCCAGTTTCAGACCAAACGGAGCGCTTTTTGGACTCACGGCGATACAAATTCCCTTTTTCCTTGTGTGATTTCAGTGTGCGGTGGAGAGACGAATCGGCGGATATTCACGGCCCATAGCAAATTTTAATCCGCTTTTTCTTTTTTTTTATCACAGGAGACCGACATGACTGTAATCCAACTAAATGATCGCATCAAAACACTCAAGGACAACTTGGACAAGGTTACTAGAGCCATGTGAGTTTTTTTATTCCCAGACCACTTTGTCCAAAGTCGAGTTTGTTTGTCTCGTGTACAATGTGCAATTTTTGTGCTAACGTATGTTATTTATGGTGCTGTCAACCTGCACCGAGTTTTATCGCTTTTTCACTGTACAATCCGTCAACTGATTGGAGTAGGGCTAGTGCGTGCGCTTACACCCAAATAAACCCACAAGGCGCTCACGCCACTCACACAAAAATTTTCCCTGCATCAAAATTTGGTTGTTTTAAGGTTTTGTTATTCCTTGAAACCGTCTTGTCCTTTTGCTTTAAACGGTCGTTACAGACAGTCACTTGCTTGAGAGATCAATTCTCTGGAACTGGCTTTATAATCCAAATTTATATTTACTCGACCTGGCCTTAAAAGTGACCTCTATGGGCTGGCCTGCCTACGTAATTATCATTTGTTCTGAATGAGAAAATCGTAGCTATGTATTGGCCAGCCCTACTATAACGAAGTGGATTACCCTCCACATTTAACGTGCGTCTAAATCTCAACGGCCTGATGACCGGCTACCTCGACAATGTGTTCTGACCACGGCCACAATGTTTATGTTCGCCTGTTTATTTCCTACCATGCAGCATCCCCTTCTAGCGACTTAAAAACAGGTGACATGTGGCAACTTACATTTTTGTATGCGCTAGTGTGAATACCTTTGTATTTTCCTCGTCTCGCCCGCAAGCCTTCTGTGCATTTACACTGCGTGGTTAGCATGATTCGCCCTCTCGGTAACTGAGACAGTGTACGTACCTCTGGCGTTTGATAACCTCGGTCGTTTATGTTAAGTAAGTGTACCTGAAAGGCGTAGGAACCAGGTATTGTGTGAGAATGTAGTTAGCTCAAAAAGGTTCAGTGAATAAGATCTCGTTTCCGTCAAGCATAGCCTTTAAATTGAGTCCCACCTCTTGCGATTGCCTGTGCCGCTCGGCGCAAGTCAGTCCCGAGTCTTCTTTAGGTCTGCCACTGTTCACAAAGTTCATAGTGCGCAGGTGATGAAGAACTCTGGCAGCTAGAAATAGAACAGTATTTAGATGGGTCGATGTAATGCTTGGATCCCTAGGTCCGTTGGTTTGGCTGGCACCTTTGAGTTGGGGAGTTCTTTTTCATCCACCGAGGTCTAAACGAAAGGATTCTCCTAGAACCAAAGAGATTAGTTAATTTATGCATATATTTCAGTGCACTGAGCGGTCGATGCAATATTCGGGTGCTATGCGGCGTTGATAATGTCTGTGTGGCCTCTGAGGCTCTACTTGACGGAGAACATCAAATACTCTGCCATGTTCTTCCGTTTATCATTACTACAGGCACATTCAAGTTTCGTATTGATTTCGAGCAGAAAATTATAAGATTTATTCGGTGTATCCGGAAAAGGGACAGTCATCCTCAATGAAGACGTTCTATTAAGCCCCAATTGGGCACCGGTCGATCGACCGACCGACGCCAGTTAAACATACCTGGGTTTACGTTGCTAGCTCGAAAACGTTCACAAATATGGTGGGTTTGATGGGATGATAAAGTCGAAGTGGTCGTTTTTCGTTGGAGGTGAGTTTTGTGTGGTAACATTGGGTGGCGTTGGTTGGTGGGGTTAAAAAGTAGCATGGCCCGGCAAGTGCGCGGCAGCGCGCACTGAGAACTCGAATCACGTGATCGTCAAATATACCACTGCACAACAAACGGCTGTTATTTGACCCCTGTTTACTCCATTTTGTATCGTGTCTGCTTATTTGGTGTTTAACACAAATGTGCGCAAACATTCTAGGCAAATGTTTGTTTTTTTTCAATTATTTTTAGTGACGAAGGAAGTTTTCATGAAACAGGCCATAACGCAGCCACCTACAATCAAAATTCCAGGCCTCTATTTGTGGGAGTAATCTAGAGTGTTAATGCGGTGATTTGTTCATTGTCTTCAATTTCTCTGCGTGGTTTTTGTGTTTGTTTTGTTTCCATCAGGCCTGAGTCAATTTGGTACCTTGTTGTGCTTTTTTCGCAGCTTTACTTGCATACTTGTGTGGGTATGGGCGTCAAGAAAACACGACTCTTGAAGCGCCATGGGTCACTTATTATTGCAGCTCCCTTTGAAACGGAACTCGAGCAAATTTACCTATTTTAATTGGTTTACGTACTGCTGCTCGGTTAAAAAATCGTGGAAAATGATGTGGATTCGTATGCATCAGCAATGTTTTGCCTACCACACATGTTCCTACTGCTAGAAAACCCAGTTCTTTTGGAGATTGCAATTAACAAGATTCGATTCTGCTGTCGGTCTCATGCTTCAAGTGTGCTTTCTCACTACTATTTGGTCTTCCCGCTGCTCTATCAATATAAATAAGGGTACGATGGGGGACGAAATTTACTGTCTCGTGAAAAGCGAACCCTTGTGAAAAAGGTCTCTGTCTTATCCTGTCAGCCAGTTTCAGTTCTCGCTGAAGTGTGGACTTCCGTCTGTCCGGCCTGTCAAACGCATGGTTTCTGTGACATGGCTGGCCCAAGAGGGATTTTGGCCGTTTGTGGAATGTAGGCTGCTTTAAGCCACCTTTTTGCTTATTTTTTTACTCCCAATCAACTCCTTTCAGAACGGCCACACAGCGTTTGCTCGATTCCTACGTGCAGAATCCAAGCCTTGGCAACCAACGTGAGAGTGAGGAGACTATTGCTAAACTGCAGCGCCAGACATTCTCGCTCAGTGAACTCATCAGCAAACTCGAGGTACGCTCAAGGCATTTCGTGCATCCTGTTGCCGTATCTGTTTGCCGAGAGGCACCACTCCCTTAGGCGCTTAGGTCAAGCCAAAAGCCAGTTGGACACAATCCACGCCCTTTGCTGCGCACTGCTTCTTCCTTTATTGATGTGGTTGATTGTCTGCCTTGATTCCATCAGCCACCTTTTTTCCATAGTAGACTCTAATCACTAACCTATTCGGGTGAAAAAGTTTCTGCTGCGATTACAAAGTCGTAATGTGAATATCAGTCCTAAGGTATCTTTGAGTGTTTAAGCAATTTTGTCTTCGCATCTGCAAGACAGCGTATTTGCTCTAACTCCACCTGAACGAGTTGCGAATGGGTCTCTTCGATAACAGATCCACCCACCGTACTAGGTTGGCAGGATGAATTTGCCCAATCTATTTTGCATTTGGTTGTGAAAACCGAAATATCTTTGAAACTCCCAAAGTGGAGCTTTTCAGTCGATCGAGTAAAATTAATTTAAATGCATTAGCGCTAGTCTAACATCTTGGCTGCGACATCAACATCAAAGCCATGGTTACAAACCGCTTGAGAAGGTATCCTCAAACTCTTGTTTGGTGCATTTATGAATCTTTAGGGTCACAGAAAATAAGCTGCATTAGATATGGCACGAGCGGTGGTTGTGACTCGACTCCCACCGAACTTAAGCAACCACTGTCTTCATGTCACCATCTTCACACTCACCTTTTCTGCTTAGTCTCGTTACACCTCGATGGGCGGTGACAAGGCCTTGGCTGACGCTCAAAGCTCCCTCGAATGCACAAATCCCTATGCCATTTCTAATCCAACTGACAAGCCCCTTCGACCGACCTCCATGCCAAAGCGTGACACTCTATCCGAGTAAGCCGATTCTTATTTCGATGCAACACTTCGTTTCTTGCTCTTGCGTCCTTGTTGTCCACCAGCACACCGCTTTTGTGGTGTGGGTTGCACAGAGATTGTTGTTTTTTAAAACATTTTTCAGCCCTTGGGTACACGATACCATCTGATCCGAAGTTGACTTCCTGGTGAGCGGAAGTCGGTTGCCATTGGTAATGGTGGGTGGGCCACTTTAGACAAGCTACACTGTGTGGTTATTGTTACTTAAAGCAAACTTTTGTAAGCAGAGTTGTTGCTAAGTATTGTTAACTTCTATTCGTCACAATCATCGAAAATCATTACTGCAGTCAAATCATGCACATCAGGCTGTGAAAATGTGACATTGATCTTGAGCCATGGTTCGACTGCTATTGGTGCATTCTTTATCGTCAGCTCTGACCCCCTTTTGAAGCAAATCGGGAGAAAACAACACGGTGGCCGCAGTGTGTTTTAAGAACACATGTTATCACTAGTTGCTAAAGTATAACTAAACCATATTCAATCATGACCAAAAGGAGTAACAACAGTTAGGAGTGCCTTCCCCTTATTGAAAAAATGCACAACCGATGCTTGGCATAGTTACTCCTATTAAAATTGCAGCAAGTGAGATTGCAGTGCTTATAAAAGTTGGCATCCATGGGTTTTCAAGTAGAAGTGGAGCATGACGCCGTAACCTCATGTTACAACAAGGTCACTAGATTAAACCAAGTGAACATTTGAAATTGCATTCCGTGTCGTTGCATTTTCTGACCAATCTTCCAGTGTCGACACAAGCAAGGGTACTCTGGAATAACCGGGATCACAAGTGTGGAGTTATTTGTTTAATCCAGTTCATTCATAACCTGGTGACAAATGTGGCGCTTGATCCGACCGCTTAGGTTCAGGAAAGTCATCAACAAGTTAAGTTTTACCGGGATGCAGTTTGAATCAGAACTGGCGAGAGGGAGAACGTCACCTCTAATTAATTTTCCCAGACTTGTTAAGGCACATTTTTTCGATGTCATGTGTCGTAAATCACGAATCCACCTGTTTTAGAAATGAGAACGTACTTGAGAAGGTTTGCAATGCATCAAGTGAAATCTACTTTGAGAAGAAATTGCCAAATATAACGACGTCTAACCATGCATACGCTTGCATAAACAAAGTTGATGAATCGGGTGCATACATGCATGCATGCGGGGCTGTGGGTTTGTGTGCTTGCAAGTTCACAAAACCACTGGCAAGTGCACTAAAGAGGTGATTTGTGGGAGTTGTGTGTACGTGACAGTTGCACCGCCTGAGGTCAGACTAAGCGACGCGTTGAAAGCAGAGGTGCGTGTGTGCTTGCTGTCTCCCACATGTGGCCGAGAGGCACTACTCTCCCGCCAGTCGATTAATCCTCCTCAGCATTTGCCAAACCCTTTACGTTCTACTAATGTGCATTTCTTCATTTCTAGCTAATTACCTATCATAAAGCAGTTTTTCCTTCGGGTGTCGTTTTGGCTGCCTTACCGCCACTTCGCAATGAGATTTATTGCATTGGTTTTAGATCAAGTGCAGATGAATTGGACTCGGATGTGGATGATTCCGGTGTGTCGGCTTCACAGGGCTTCAGCTCGTACGTCGGACAAGCCACTCTGGAGTACGACTGTGAGGGTAGGTCAGTTGTCTGCCAACTGTCACACTGGCTGCCACATCCCGCCCTTAGTCAAGTTGATCCCTTGAAAAGTCCTTGTCAGAGTGTGCTTAGTTGTGTTACTTGCAGAACCTAACTGACTCACATTGTAGTGTGTTGCAGTTATGTCCTGAGCTGGAGTCACCGCGTTGATGTCCTGACTCGTGCTGTTTTTGGGTCATTGGTCACCAAATGCATAGCTCGACCATCTTGTGCATTGACATTAGAGGGCATGGTTGTGCAAAAGCCAGATATTTGCATGGGATTGCGCAGTGCTTAAGTCGGAAGCGGTACATAGGATTTCGTGCGCATCATATGGCTTCCTACTGCAGCGTCTATGGACACAATTTACACTCCTTAACTAGTGGTGCGCCAGAAAACACTGGTGAGTGAAACACTTGCTTGTGATTAGGTGACAAC